TCGGAGTTGACAAAGGAGAGCCAGTTCTGTGGATGATGATTATGCAAGATGGAAAAGTGCTGATAGACTGTGGAAGAATACAAGTCTGAGCTAACAGCTTTGGAAACCTGTTTGAAAAAGCAGCTTTGAGCAGTTGATCTGGTGCTGCACATGGGCGATGAACAGTAGCAGTGCTGCATTAGGGTGAGCGGAATGAAGTGGGGAGGCAGAGGAAGATGCTTGGGGTGCTTGGTTTCATGGAGAGCAGGAGGCAGCATTGTGAAAGTTTTTAAGTGGTGGCAGGGATGGGTTCCAAGTGGGTGGTTGTATAATTTTCATATTAATACACTTTTAAGATTTTAATTTTTTTTTTTTTTAATTTGCAATTTTCAGTAATCAAAGTAAAGTTTCAGGTGATTGATCAAATAAAGAAAGGAAAACCCAAACATTTCAACCTAGGTTATGGGTGAGTAGATTTTTGCTGACATCAGAAATTATTAATTGCACCAGCTAAATTACAAAGATGTTATCTGGGCTCTGGGAGCCAAGAACACCATAATTAGGGCTGTTAGATGCCCCATTCCGCTTCCTCACTTTTGACTTTAACCATCAAGGCACTGGGTCCAGGTAAAAATGAACTAATTTATGTGAAGGGCTTGGGGTGGTTTCAAGAGCAGCATGAAACAAATGCCTCAGTTTGTGACTGATCCTGTCCCCTGGAGGAGCTGCAGCCTTAACCAGAATGTGTGGGTTCGTTGTGTTACTTTGGAGCTGTATATGTTGAGTGCTCATAAAGTGGCTTGCATTGGCATTTAGTTTGAAGAGTTCAGTGAATTCTACCAGCCCTCTCTAGTGCTGTTTCGAAGGGCTGCATCAGTAATTGTTTGTGTAGGTGCACAAAATTATTTTCAGTTTCCTAAGGTGTTTTCTTGTTTTCTTACATGCTATTGTTTTTTCTAGCTAGAGACTGAGCTGAAGTGATATTTATTAAATAAAGCTAAAGCTGTCTGGTTTTAGACAGATATGCGGGTTTACACATCCTGCCTTGTCAGAACAGATTGGACGCCAGTGTCACCAGCATGCCCACGAGAGCTGTGATGCTTAGCTTGTGGCACCCAAAATCTATCCAGACATCTATCTTCAGACCTCAGAACAGCTAATCTTTTTTAAATTTAGTAACAGATTAGTAAGCTTGAAAATACAGAGTTGGAATAGTTCATAGTTTCCACCAGACCATAAAGAACCTAAAGCCCAGGATACACAGGAGGGGAAGCCACAACCATCAATGTATTCAGGTGCATGTTTCTACCTTTGTCCTCAGGCACATGTCCCAGTTCAGAAGGGCACTCAAATATTTTCATAATGCTTCAGATTGCCCAACTGAAGGCAACAGGGCTGGCTGATGCCAGAAAAACTACTTATGCTTAACATTAAACACATTCTTTAGATGCTGATTAACTGGGGCCTATGGTAGTTTAAGAATTGTGAGTGCTCAAAAATGAAATGTTTCGGTTCCTATACATTGAAGATGGGACTAGGAGTCACACAGAGGAAAATTATCGTATTTAATTTTTTTTTTCTGCCCACTGCCATATCTCCATAAGAAGGAAATTAAACTATTAAACACAGAAGGCATTGGCATTGGCATTGATACTATTACTGTTATGATTGTTATTTTATTATAGGTTCAGAAAGAGAAAATAAATTTGTTGCTACACAAAACTTTGGAAAACAAGAGGCATATTTTTTTATTCAGTGATTTTATTAACTATTTTGGTACCTTATTTGTAGACTTGCCTAGGAATTGTAAATGCTTTATGTGGTAGGTTTGGAAAGATAAATAAATATCAGTTATCAATTATTTATCAGGACCTGTTTTCGGAACTGAAATTTAGAAGTAATATGGCTTCCGGTATTTTGCCTTGTGATATGTAATTGCCTACTCTAAATAAAAAAGTGCTTCAAAGAAGTCTTTCAATCCTTTTCCAGATTTTCAATTCCCCCCCTAACATTTCTTGGCATGGGCAGCACATTTTTCATGCAGTTATACTGGAAAAGATTTTTCAACACAGCAAATAAAACTGGTGTGTCAAATCTGCCTGCCTGGCTTTCTCAAATTCAGGAGGTCTCACATTGTGAATTTTATTTTAACATGGATTTCTATTTTGTATTGCACCTTTTATCCAGGTGAAGGCAAATCTGGGAAAAAATTCTCTCTTTCCTTTGAATTGTAGCATCACCAACACTGTAGACTGCAGCAATCCTTTCCAATCACGAGAGCTGGAGTGTCTGCAGGTTTATCAAATAGCCTTTGGAAAATCTTCTTGGAAATCCTGTAACTGGGACACTCCTGAGAGTCAGTCAGGGCTGGCTGGAGTGAATTCTCATGAGCTGGAGAAAAGATGAAGATGTGACCCCAAGGCTCCATCAAAGAGAGCCTGTGGCAGGGGCCAGCAGTGTGTCCTGGTGTGTCCCTGTTCCAGCAGAGCAGTGTGGCTGAGCACCCCAAACTTCCTTTCCTGGCTTGCTGGAGCTGTTGATCTGAGCCTCCCAGCTGGCTTATCCCCAGGGATATGGGAGAAGGGGCACAACTGACTGTGCTGACACACTGATGAGGACCTTCACTGGGAGCAGAGCAGTCAGCAAGAAGCAGCTGCCAGCTATAACCCTTCCTGTGACATGCAGAAGAGGATGTCCCCGTGGCCACACTACATTCGTGGTTCAGCAAATTGTGCTGCTCTTCAAGCTGTGCTCAGTTCCCTAAAAGGCCTTGTACAGGTGTGGGTGAACATAGTACTCCCAAGTAAGAAAAAGCAATTAAAATTATTAAAGCAACATTAAAAGTCATGAGGAAGGTGTTTTGTAGTGCTAAGTGTGAAAAAATGAAATGCTTTCCATTTCAAAGCTGACAAAGTTTATGTAGAAAGGCTATAGTAATTCAGTGGTGAAGCTATGAATAAAGTTGAAGCAAACAGAGATAGGTTGCCTTTCTTTACACAGTTTTCTTAACATAGGTTAAGATAGTTCAGGTTTAAATGCATATGTTAACTGCTCAGTATATTGGTTTGTGAATGTAGCTTTCACCGCCCAGCCAGACACCTCTCTGCAATCTCTTTGTTACAAGTTTGTAAAGCAAACAGAAATGCAACAGAGAGGAGAGTCTGGAGCTGCCAACATCTGAAGCTGAGGTTATAAATAGCTAGAGAGCTGCCAGGTGGTGAGTTCTTAGCCTTTTTGCAAATGACCTATTATATATATATGTTTACATTTCCAGATTTCCAGCAATAGTTATCCAGTGGACTGAAATGTCTTCACAGAGCTCCTTCCAGGATTATATTTCAGTCCCAGCTTCATTGTTCTTGGAGATGGAGCACTTGTAAGCCAGTATATAAATCTCTTCCTTTAGCAGCTTACTTTTACAGGCATTTTACAAGTTGGAGCATCTGGCTCCATTTTTAGATCATTTTGATTCTTTCTGTTCTAACACTCAAATTGATTCAGGCAAGGTCTTTTTTTGTTTGGTTGTTTTTTTGGTTGGTTGTTTTGTGGTGCTTTGTTTGTCCTAAACTTCCAGTGACACATTTCTCATTTACTGGAAAATGTTGAAGCAATCACATGCTGGAAGAAGGTAGTCCTGAGTAGTTCCTCTTCTTGAAAAGGGCAGTGCAGCTCAGGAGGGTCATTTGTCATCTGAAGGACTGAACTTTTAGTTACTAAAGTTATTTGAGGCTGGTGATACTGTTGATGGTAGATCCAGGTTGTTGCCCAGGTCTGTGGAACACGCAGGTACAAAAGGCTGCTTCAGGGTGAATTGTTTTTCCTTGCATTTAAGTTCCACTTCTGTGTTCTAGCTTAGCAAATGAGTGCTGCGCCTACTTGGAGATCTCGCAATCATAGAATGATTTGGGATGGAAGAGACCTTAAAGGTCATCTTGTTCCATCCCCCTGCCTCGGGCATGGACACCTTCCACTATCCCAGTTTGCTCAGAGCCCCTTCCAGCCTGGCCTTGGACACTTTCCAGGGATGTGGCAGCCACAGCTTCTCTGGCAGCCTGTACCAGGGCCTCACCAGCCCCTCAGGAAAAAATCCCCAGCTAATGCCGCTTCATGCCACTACTTTCCCCTGCTCTGGATCTGCAGGCACACATTTCAGCTGAGTCAGGAAGAGCTGTGTCACTGGTGCACTTGGCTTGGTGATGGCACGCACTGGCCTTTCTGGCAACCACAAGTGGGCTAAGGGTTGTAGAAATAATACTCTTCCTTTTGAATGATGTCTTGACACAACATTAATTAAACTCATTCTTGTGAGTTAATCTTTGATTAAGCAATTAAGCATAGATCTAAAAATTTTGATAATAAATACTCTGTAAATTTAAAGAATAAATCAAATCTATACTGTGAAAAAACAAAACTGAATTAAAATTTAAAAACATATACTTTCACTGTGATATAAAAATCTTTGCACAAAAGTTCTTAGTGATAAGCCTTAAGTTGATGTTCTAAATTGTAAAAAGCAAAACAAAATCAGAACTTAGAAACATATGTGCTTACTGTAATATGTTGCCTAAACATTCATATAACTGTTAGTCCTAAGTAATATATAAAAATATGTTATAATGTCAATTTACTTAAACATAACTTTCTAAAAATACTGCAACTTTGTAATTAAAAAAAAAAAAAAAGAATTGTGGATAGATAGAATATAGGAGAAGAGAGATAGTGGGTGAAGGTAATCTCACCCCTAAGGAATTACAGCTGTGCTAATTATCAAGACTTAGGAACAGGCCTGCCCTTAATAAGCCACAGCTAGATCCAGTTAGGATGAGTATTGTAAAAGAGTAAGTTGGCTGGTCAAGAAGGTTAGATGGAGTTTGTTAGCTGTGCTGAGAAGAAGAAAGAGTCAGTGCTGTGAGGAGCTGCCCGTGAGAAATCACCAAGAAGGTACAAAACCTTTGCAACAAGATAACAACAGTCTTGTCTTTTTACCCTTGTTTTCTCTCTCTGTTGTGCTTTTTCTCCAGCTGGGATGACAGCAGCTCTGTCAGCAGTGGGATCAGTGACACCATAGATAATCTCAGTACTGATGACATTAACACCAGCTCCTCTATCAGCTCCTATGCCAACACACCTGCCTCCTCCCGCAAGAACTTAGATGCACAGGTCAGAGCTTTGGTTTATTCAACTAACATCGATATTTGTTACTTTCTGTGTGCAGGAGGTCTAATTGTTTTAGGTTGCTGAACTTGAAGACACAGCCTGCCTTCAGTATAGGCAGTACCAATAATAACCACCTTGTCATCCATGGCATTTGCAAATATTTCCTCTGTGGGTGAAACCCAAGGCATCTCTGCCATGGTGATGTCACAGCAATTGGGTCTTGTCTTCCTAGAGGCACTGCTGCACAGAAAACGGATGTAAATGGGATTTTATGTAGATATTTTTTTAGGTCTGAAATGCTATTACGTTTTTCTCTTAAATAATGGAATACAATGAAGTAAACATCAAAGTTCAAAGGTTGTTTACACTTTTATCAGAAATGTAAGCATGTTATGCAAATGAAATTGATTTTATTAAATTTCCAGAGCTGTGTGTTGTTGAAGGCTTTCTGTGTTTGCCAGCATTTCATAGGAGGATAAACTTTGCCTCCATCAGCAGGATACGTTTACATTTTGTGCTTAGACGCCAGACATCCAAAGAGTGTGGAACAAGTGAAGGCATCTAAAAGTTTTTCATTGGTCAAACTGCGTAACACAGAAATTTGCATTAATACAAACTGCGGTCAAACTGCGTAACACAGAAATTTGCATTAATACAAACTGCTTTTTTTTTTTTTTTTTTTTTGCCAATTCCATAAATTTTTGTTTGGGAAAGTGCAGGACTAAAAATCCAGCTTTGTTCTAGTCCTGCTCGAGGGACTCGGGTGGTGTGGGCTGCAGCCACTGGCATGTGGTGATCTGGCAGTGCTGCTGGTGGAGGAGAGGGATGTCGGTATGACCTGCTCCTCTGTTTTTTCCCTCTTTTAGTCTTCTCCAGTCCTTTTCATCAGTGGGTCCTAAATCTGTTTTTGACATCAGTTTTGATGGAGACGTGTGGTTGCTGTGAAGTATTGCTCTGTCTCCAGAGCTGTGGTGCAAGCACAGAGCAGTCTTTGTTCCCTTGCCATGCAGTGCATATTTGAGCCTACACAAAGGGTTTCCAGGTAGCCTCTGTTTGCCTATCAGTGTCTGCACAGGCGCTTGGAACTGCTAATACAAGTCCCATCCAAGCTGAGAGGAGTTAAGATCTATCAAGCATGTTTTTCAGTACCTGACAGAGAGTAAGATGGGCAACTAGAAGTATTTTTTGACAATTGTTACTGTCTCAGCATTGTAATACTGTTGGGGGGCGGGGGGGGAGGGGGAAGGAAGACTTGGAGATGTGACTAAACATTAACCTAAGGAAAAAAAAATAGAAACTCACGTGACTTCTATCTTCTGATGGATCAGATTCTTGGAAAAGCCTCTGAGAGATCAAAATCTTTGTTGACAAACTCCTCTTCCTCCTCCACAACTATTACAGTATCCAAGAGGGTGCAGACAGACACCAGAAGAAAAGCAGCTGGAGCTTGTTCAGGCAGTTGAGTGTAGTTACTGGCAGAGGAAGCTGGGAGCCAAGAACTGTACAAGTGGTGTTTGCAGTTTTTTGCTGTGATGTGTCCCTCACCTGCTTCTCTCCTCAGTTTTCATGAATGACACTCCTTATTCCAGGTATTCTGTTATCTGCAAACTATTGCCCATAAAATAGTTCATTTTCAGTGGAACAAACTACCTGAATCTTGTCAGCCAAGGGAATGAAAAAAGCTTGGAGTGCTGAAATGTGTGGCTTGCAGGGTTAACTTTTTGGTGCCAATTGTAGACCTCAGAGCTCATGATGCAGTGAATGCTGCAGAGACGCCTTTTCTGTCTTTTCTGAAGGACTCTGTGATGGCCAGTGCCAAGGTTTGCCTTCCCCAGGGTGGTGAGCCACAAAGGAATTGCACGCATTTGCAGAGGGATGTGGGCTTTTCTTCTGAGGGTGTCCCTTGCTTTGATTCTCCTAAACAGCAGGTGCTTTTGAGCTGCTGTGATTCTGTCACATCTCTTTGAGAGGGTACAGAAGTTGGATTTCAGATAATTAAGGAGGGAGCTTGAAGCTAATACATGTGCAGCTGGGAGTCCAGGCAAATAATGCAGCAACATCAAAGGGAGAGAGTCTGAACATGTCAGTATCTGCTGATAAAATCAGTAACTCAGGCAGAATCATCTCTGCAAAGAAAGGCATAGTTGCAGTAGGAAAAAATCTCTGTTGAAAAGCTGATTTTTGGGGCTGATGAGTACCCCATACTCCGGAAGCTGCAGTTTCTCCATCTTTGAGAAACAGGACTTAAATATGATATTAACTCCGTCTTCAGAGACATTCATAGCTGTATCCTCTTTTTATAGCAATGCAGTGAAGATGTTTGCAAGTTGTTTCTGAACAAGCTAGTGATGACAAGCTAGTGATGGGAACTAGAATTTGCCTTGCCACGTTCCCTTGTCCTGCTGTGATTATGCCAAGTATTAAACCACTTAATGTAGTTACAGGAGTTTTGGCACCCTAGTATTTTTCCTTTTTACTGCACAGAATTAGGTGAGTTACCTTTATCACAGTACTACATATAGTATGCCTTTAAAGTCACATCATATGCATACTTTTAGGAGAAATTAAGACCAAGGTGGGCATTTGAAAATAACTTATTTAACTGAAATAAAATGGGAGAAAGAGACCAAGTAACAAATTCAATCATGTGATGGTAAAAAGATCAGAAGATAGAAATGTTCCTTCAAATAGAAAACTGCAATATCCCTAAGCAGTTGGATAAGACATCTTCTCAGGAAAGATGGGTTTGATCTGTTCACAGCTTCAGATTTACAAAACTTTGAGTGAGTTGAGAAATCCTGGTAGTTTGCTCCTAGCCCAGGCTGTGCTGTCAGCTCATGCTTGCTGTGTCTTGCCATGACCTCCATCCAAGAGTATTTCCACTTTCACCCTTCTGGGTGGGTGGAGTTTCAGCTGCAATCCCCAAGCCAGGTTTCACTGTGTTTTGGTTTGGATTCCTTAGTCATGTTTCTGTGCTGTTCTCAGTGTTTACCATTAAACAGAAACATCTCTGGCCAGAGGGTTTCAAAGGTGGAGATGCTGCAGGAAAGCTTTGGCCGTGGGTGTAGTAGTAGAATAAAAGGCAGGAGAGCAAAGGTAGGGGACTTCTTGCAGTGCTGTTCTCTCTGTGGAGACTGATTGTACTAATCTTACAGATTAGGGGAGGGGAAATAGAAGGTACAGGAATATTTCCTAGTCAACCAAAACTAGAATAAGGCCTTTGCTAGTAGGTAGGTGTATTTCTTGTTATTGAACACTAATAGTGCATACACACAATTCCAGACAAGGAGCTTGGACTAAGATATTGAAGTGACCACATGAGGAATGGTGTCTTTGAGGTGGCTTTGTTGGTTGATTATTTGGTACTTTTTGCCTGTGCTCTCTTCCAAGATTTGTCAATGTAGGAGCTGTTTGCATGAAATAGTGATTTTGGAGAGGTGCAGGACATAGGAGCAGTCACACTGTGAATTCATTACACACCTACTGATGGTCAGAAATAGAAAGGTGACCCACCAGCCCCAAACCTGGCAGGCACAGGAAAAGAAGGGAGTTAGAAAGCAGAGATCCATTCAAACCTACACTAGGTTGCTCTCTTTGAATGGAGAGGTAGGGAAAAAACATTTGCATAGCACAAGGAAAGTACAAGAATATAATGTTACGTAAATCCTTAATTCAAAATGCATGTTAGTCTAATGACTCAATATGTAGATAAACAACCCAAGCCCTGTTTCCCAACTGAAGAAAGACCATTGTGATATGTAGTGTCAGCTTTCTCACACTGATCGCTTAACTAGTTTTTCAGGCTTTAAAAAATAAGTAGTTACAGTAAAAAGCAGAGGAAATTCAACCACAGTTCCCCTGAATTCTTTAATATTAATGGTGTGATCTGGTAGGTAAAGAAAAGTCATAAACTTAAAACATTCTTTAGGAATTGAAAAGCTGAAAAGGGTGGTAAATAATCTTACAGCTTCTCCTGGGCTATGTTTTTCTCATTATCCAAAAGGAATAAAAACTGTGAGCTTTATAATGCTTTGGGATATTTAAAATAATTTCCTTTTCAATTATTCCTTTTGCCTACCTCACAGTTCTGAGCACATTCATCTTCTGCTGAGGCTGCAGGGCAGAAAGGTGGCATCAAACCTCACCAAAACCGATCAGCCAGTACTCGGGAACTTCAGTCAGGTGTTGAATTGTCAGTCTCTTTCATGGTACTGTTGTGGTTGGAGAACACTTCAGCTATGAGTTTTTTATCCTGATCAGAGTCAAATATGTGGATATTTGTCATTTGTGCCTGATCACAAAATGGTTGGTTGTGGTGTTACCGCATTCACCAAATTTAATCAACAGCATTTGACAGGAGTAGAATTCTGGAAGAGTAATCATTAGGAGTGGGAAATAGTAATGCATGGGGAATGTATAAAATATACACATATCTATATATAGGGTAATATATTTAATTTAAGCATTTCTGAGATTTTGGCAACGGTTTGCTAATGACAAATTTTTCTGTTTAATATTGAGCTTAACAAAATTCTCCATAAGCGACTTGTAACACAATCAATCTGTACAAAGAATAGGGATAAAAACAGTCTGCAAGAGAAACTAATTTATGTATTGAAGTCACTCTTGAGTATTGTTAGAAAGTTTTTCTTCAGTCCTTGGATGTCCTTCTATTATGTTAGGTTAGAATTAACAGCATTCCACATATTCAGATCTGTTCCAAAAGCTGCCTCCTCATGCTCTGGAGATCAGATTGCCAGACAAGAGATAAGAAAGCAGCAGGAACAAAGGAAGGCTGGCTGCTCAGGTTTGAAATGCTTTTTTGGCATTGCAGTAAAAGGGTTTGTCAGAAATTTGAGATGGAGGATTATAAATGTCATGTAGCTGAATATGTCCTTTATAAAACAAGTAGGGGTTTTTTCCCCTTTCTTTATTCCAAGGAGCATGGCTGTTGTGGTTTTTTGTATTTTTCTTATAAAGCATATTAAAAAATTATGTCATTGCTGGGGTTTATTTCTTGCTGTGACATTTCTTCATCAAAGGCATGGCATGTTTGCTGGTACTCAGAGATGACTGCTGAGCTGATTAATCAGGGTAATGGTTCCTACTTACAAAGCTTCCTAAAAGAAAGACTTGCTCTGCTCTGAAAGTCATCTTGCAATTCCTTATCTGTCCTAGACCGATGCAGAAAAGCATTCCCAGGTGGAGCGAAATTCCTTATGGTCCGGTGATGAAGTCAAGAAATCCGATGGGGGATCTGATAGCGGCATAAAAATGGAGCCAGGATCCAAATGGAGGCGGAATCCCTCTGATGTGTCAGATGAGTCTGATAAAAGCACTTCTGGTAGGAAGAACACTGTTATTTCCCAGACGGGCTCCTGGCGACGGGGCATGTCAGCTCAGGTTGGCATTACCACACCAAGGCCTAAACCTTCAACCACCTCAGGCACATTAAAGACACCTGGAACAGGTGAGAAAAGGTGTAAGATATAAACAAGCCAGAAATGTGTTCGGTGTGAACACAGTTTAAATACTTTGCAGAGGCAGAACCTGAACTTCAGGTAATCCTGTCTGTATTTTTAGGCATTGCTTTAACCTAAGCAGCATCTTGTATGTCCACATTTCTATTTCTGTCTGAAAATGTTTATTTGGAATTAGTACACCCTGCCAGTTGTTTTCATGAAAACTCTGGTCTTAAGCCAAACAATTTATTTGGCACAGTATTTCTGTGTGAAGAATAAATAATATAATTTTAGGTTTTGAAGTCACTATTAACCAAGAGCACACAATATATATGGTTGAGGAGATTGCCCCCCACCCGCCCCTTACTAAACAAGCATGTTTGTTTATACTAAACATGACTTCTGGGTTTTCTTGTAAGTGTATTAATGATTTTAGCACTTGCAGATGTGTGAATGAAAATTGATTGAATTTGCATAATCAAGCAGTATAATTTAATACCTCTCTTTTTATTAGGTCTTGTACACAATTGTATATGAAAAAGTTAAAGTTGTATACTGTTTTGAACAATACAAATGCTTTAACAATGCCTTTTAGGGAAATTATACTATCAGCCTAACACTTCTAGTGTGTAATGATAGAAATGATCAATCTGTGGTAGCTACAGAGGGAAACTTTTTTTTCTTATCTGTCACTATTATGTGAGGCTGTTCTGCTTTGCATATTCTCAAAGACAAAGGCACCACATACTTTGGCAAGTCTGCATGTGTAGCTCACTAGAGTGGCATGTAAGTTCAGTGCAGACTAGATCATAACTTTGAACCGCACTCCAATGGCTAACACGCTTTTGCTTTTCATGCTGCTTTGAGTTTCATCATTTGCTTGATGTTTTCAAGTCATTAAATATTAGAATTCTTTTTCTATTTTTGTAGGGAAAACTGATGACGCCAAGGTATCAGAAAAGGGTAGACTATCTCCTAAAGCTGGACATGTTAAACGTTCCCCATCAGATGCAGGACGCAGCAGTGGTGATGAATCCAAAAAGCTTCCCACAAGTAACTCTAGGACAACTGCTGCTAATGCTAATACATTTGGATTTAAGAAACAGAGCGGGTCAGCTGTAGGCATGACCATAATCACTGCCAGTGGGGCAGCTCTCACCAGTAGATCGGCTACCTTGGGAAAGATCCCCAAGTCATCTGGACTCATGGGTAGGACCACTGGTCGGAAGACTAGTGTTGATGGCTCCCAGAACCAGGATGATGGCTACTTAACACTTAGTGCACGAACTAATCTTCAGTACCGTAGTTTACCCCGGCCCAGTAAATCCAGTAGCAGAAGTGGAGCTGGGAATAGATCTAGCACAAGTAGCATAGACTCCAACATAAGCAGCAAGTCAGCTGGGTTGCCTGTCCCTAAAATCAGAGAGCCTGCCAAGGTAATTCTTGGAAGCTCTCTGCCAGGATTAGTCAATCAGACTGATAAAGAGAAAGGGATTTCGTCTGACAACGAAAGCGTGGCTTCATGTAATTCTGTTAAAGTGAACCCTGCATCACAGCCTGCTGCTAGCGGAGCTCAGAGTACCCACCAGCAAGGAGTCAAGTACCCCGATGTGGCCTCTCCCACTCTGCGCAGGTAGGCAACAAATTCCTCGGTTGTGCAGTGGTGTTAGCGGGAGCTGAATGAGCAGGACTCTGCCAGCCAGGCCTGGCTGGCTTTGGTGCAGCACTTTCTATTTAGTGTCCTGCTTCAAGGTCATGGTATTTACATTTAATTTCACATAAACAGCTTGACCAGTGTTGTGGATACTTAGGACATCACGCGACAGCAGCAGGAGTCTAACATTCAGGGAAAAAAACAAACCTGTCTGGCTTTGGCAATTACAATTTGAGTCTCCTTGTTGCAGAAGTCATACCTGGAGGCTTTTATCTGTGCAGATGTCACAGATACAAGAATTTTCTTACCAGAACGTTACTGAAGAGTTCCTGCACAGATTTATATTTAACAAACCTGGAAATATTCCAGTTGTGGATCAAATTGTAAACCAACAACTGGAGGGTTATCTCAGATTTTCATGATGACAGTGGCATTGACCTGCCAGGCTTAGATTCACCCAAAGCAAACTATTATAACTTGTGTGGATTAGCCCAGTATGTTGCAAGACTCAACATTTTAGCCTGTGAAGAAGAACCCTAAATAAAGTTACTGTCTAAGCTGGGTTAAATTTTCTTATTTTAATACCATTTTTTGGACAAAAATCCTGTCTTCTCTTTCTCCAAGAGTACCCCACACACTAACATTAACAAATAGTTGGTGAGGAGCTAATTTGTTGATGCAGTGTATATCAAAGCCTTGATATTGGTGAAAAGGTCTGTTAATACTATTTTTCAACTGAATTTGAGTAGCTTGTGTGTTTCAAGTTGCAGTGTTTTACATTTCATTTTGTTGTGATGCCCATAATATCCATAGTTATGCTCCATCATCCTGCTTCCAGTGATGTGAGAAAGCTACATTCCATCTGAAGCACCAGTGCAAGCATAATGGCTGTGATGGCAGCTTAGGCTGATGCTGTAAACTGTTTTTAGATGGCTGGTTTTATTTGAAGAGCCTGTGTGAGGATAATTGAAGATACTTTATTTTGTACCTGGTTAACAATAGATAAGCCATGTACCTTGGAACATGTAATTTTCATCAGTGGTTACTGAAAAACTCCAGTAGGCCTTTCACTTCCATGGGATACACAATGAGAATTGCGGATTTACAGTGTTTTCAGTGATTTCAGTGTGCCTCAGGCACATTGGTAGGACTGTGATTGGGAAACTTTTATTACTAAAAAGCTGCATTGCTGGCTGTGTAATTGAAATGCTACGTTAGAAATACATGAAACTTCAAAGAGCCGACACTGAGGCTCAATTTAACTATTCCCTCATTTGATTTACAATCTCACACTTGAATTTTCACCAGCCTGTCAAAACTGTCATGTGTTGAAATGTGTCAGAGTTGAACTGGGCCTCCTCTGCTTATTACTGATTTCTAGGATGACAGTAAAGAAGATTTTGAGCTTAATTTTCATAGTGGAGTTGCAGACATTGTTTTTTGCTTGTTTCCTCTTGGCCCTGTAGGTTTTTTTGGTGTTACACAGTGAATTGGAATCCATACCTTTTTAATTATACAGACTTATCGATAAGTTCGCGAATATATGTAACTTCCATGTTGTCATAAACAGGGGGTAGCTTAAAAGCAGCTTACAAAACTGTTGTGTGGGTGTTTGGGGTTTTTAAGCTCTGGGATGCTTTCTTTAAGAGTGGTTTCCCCAGTGAAGCTGAAGAGGTTGTATGCTCTGGCACAGGAATACCTCGGGGAATACACTAAGCTGGTAGAGCTGCTGAGTGCCATGGAATCACGGACTGGCTTGGGTCAGAAGGGACCCTGAAGATCATTTTGTTCTGATTCCCCTGCCATGGGCAGAGAGACCTTCCACTCTCCCAGCTTGTTCAAAGCCCCACTCAGCCTGGCCTTGAACACTTCTAGGAATGGGGCAGCCACAGCTTCTCTGGGCAGCCTGTGCCAGGGCCTCACCACCCTCACAGGGAAGAATTTCTTCCTTATGTCTTATCTAAACCTGCCCTCTCAGTTGGAAGTGTTGTCCAGATGCCTTGGGGCAAGTATGTAGCAGCAGCTGCCCAGCTCAGGTGTGTTTCATGCACTGGAGCTGCAGGAAGCACCTGTGCAGCCTGGACACTGCTGCTGGGCAGCACTGGGCTTGCTCCGGGTGCTGCAGGTGCCCAGCTCTAATACAGCCTGTGTTTCTGGGAAGTGATGGACAAAGTGACTTAGTGTCCATGTGTCCAACAGCCTGGGCATGCTCCAAAGCAGAGAAAGTTCTGCCTGGTGCATGCCCACTCCTAAGTCTTCAGGAACACTTGTATGTAAGTGCTGTAGTCCTCTATTCTGAAAGGTTTCACCCACGGTACTCCACAGTGAATGACAAAAAAGCAAATCTGTACAGGTATGCGTGAGGAAAACTAAGGTTCCAAAGGTAGTTACAGGTAGCCAAGAGGCAGAAACAAAAGCAAAAGTGTTTTGGGGTTGATGTTTGAAGCTGGAGTGGAAGATATGCTTCCTTCCTAATTTTGAAGATCAGTTTTGAATGATTGATAATTTAGTCTGAAGTGTGTTTACTACTGAGATGCTTGGGCACTTCTGAGGAGTTTCCCATTCTCTGTTTATGAAGGAACTGGGGTCTTTTTTTCCTCAGCAATGAGCTGCATCACAGGCAACAGTGATGCTGTGGTAAGCCTCCTCCATCCCCTCCCTCCCCAAGTTCTGGAACTCACCTAGTGTTTTACTAGCAATTCCAGGTGCCAAAAAGCAGGTAACATCACATTCTCCACTAAAAAATACTGTTTCCAGACAGCTTGGTTCATGGAATGAAACAAGCCTATGTTTGGTATGAGTGCATTGTTGCATCCCAGCAAAAGCCACTTCTGTGCGGAGCATTTGGTGATTTGTGCAGAATTTGCCTGGTCAATAAGCCTCCAGTCTCTAGTATTCCATACATCAGATTGTTTCTCTGGTGTCCTTTTTCCTTAAGGAACAGAAGAGGATATGGTTGTATCTTAGTTCTGTGAAGGTGTATTTTAGCTTTGTGGAAGTATTGGTTCATGATTCAAAGATGACTCACCTGAGAAAGATTTGGAGCTGTTGTAATTGCCTCTGGGCTTTATTGAAAGGGACAATGAACAGAAGGAGATTATAATGTATAGTTGCATATGTACAATCTAGGATCATGTACTCAATTCTGGTTTTCTGAAGATAAGATGAAATATAAGATATCCTTGTGTTTACTGTTCCATTTTATGTATTTTTTGTGCTGTCTTCTTTTTTACAGACTTTTTGGTGGCAAGCCTAGTAAACAAGTTCCCATCACAACAGCTGAAAATATGAAAAACTCAGTAGTCATCTCCAACCCTCATGCCACCATGAACCAGCAGAGTACCCTTGACTCCCCATCTGGCAGTGGTGTGCTGAGCAGTGGGGGCAGCAGTCCCCTCTATAGTAAAAACACAGATCTCAACCAGTCTCCACTGGCTTCCAGCCCCAGTTCTGCACACTCGGCTCCTTCCAACAGTTTGACATGGGGTACCAATGCCAGTAGTTCTTCTGCAGTTAGCAAGGATGGCATTGGATACCAGTCTGTCAGCAGCTTACACACCAGCTGCGAATCCATAGACATCTCCCTGAGCAGTGGAGGTGGGCTGAGCCACAACTCCTCCAGTGGCTTGATTCCAGCCTCCAAGGATGATTCTCTGACTCCCTTCATCCGTACCAACAGTGTTAAGACTACGTTGTCTGAAAGGTTAGTGGGCTTTTCTCTTGTTTCCATATGTTTGTATCTCAAGTGGGAATGAAGTCCTGGTGGCAGTAGCCAGTGCTGCAGATACAGATCAAATAATACCACTTACCAGACAGTGCAGATAACGCTAGGACTAGACCTTACAGATAAGTTATTCCGGGAAAGGAGCCCAGTTCAGAGCAGGAGGATGGGTTCAGAAGAGGTTTTTATTTTGCTGTCACAGCCAATGTGACAACTTTTTTTTTTGCTAGCAGATGGTACCTAATACTTGAATTTTGCATTATAGGTTATCCTTCCAAAGATCTGTTGTTAATTGAGATGATAGTGGTATTTTTAAAAACCCTCCAATTTTGATTTCAAAAGTCAACCTTTTCATGTTAAACTTTTTGATTGTAGAATTTGATAACTTTCAAACTGGAGGTGATGCTGAAAAGACAAGTCCTTATCTCCATAGTCACTTGATCCCTTCTCATCTTCTCCCCGCTGTCTTGTCCTATCTCCAATTGTTCACTAAAATATTTCAGTACAAGCATTCATGTGTATGCTTAGTGAATCCTATTAGAAGCTGGATCCAAGTGAAAAACAATCAGCTGAATTTTATTTCAGACTGATCAGTTCCCCAGCTCTGTATATGGTGAGATTCACTGGTACCTATGTGGACACAGGGTAGGACCTGGGAGGAGGATGAGCATGAAGGAGGGAACAGGGCTTTTCCAGCATCAGAGCTGGATTGATGGCACACTGAGCTAACACTGGGGAGAGTTCTGCAGTGGTCTCTGAGGAACCTCTTGTAGATGGCAGTAGAACCCTCCCAAGCACTGGAAATGAGCTATGTCCTGATGTGTAGTGATGAGTTCAGGTAGCAAGATTTTTGTAGCTGCGTCTCAATGGAGAAAATTGCACCTGAATGTAATGTTCTGACAGTTTGGAGTTCTCTTTGTGTTTTATTATAATTCCTTTTTGTTCCCTCATCTTTTCATTCTAATACTCCTTCTCTTGTTTTCTGTCTTGTTGGACTGCTCTTTCTAGCCCTCTTTCTTCCCCTGCTGCTAGCCCCAAATTCTGCCGAAATACCTTGCCCAGGAGACAGGACAGGTAATGCTGTCTCAGGACAGGAGTATATGCTCAAGGCTGCAGGTTTTGTTGCCCATCTCAGTGAAGCAAATTGTTTTGTGCCAGACTGTGCTCAGTTGAGTGCTCGGCTGTGTTCATCATCCAGGTGTGAACTGACACAAAGACATGCCAGTGAGAGTCCCTGCAAACACCCATCTAGCCACCCAAATCAATCTGAAGAGTAGCATACAGCACAGTTGGCATGTTTTTGGTGTTGCTCTCATTTCTGGGAATGTCCTTTGGTTTGAGGGGTATTTTTAACCCACCCTTCATATCTTTGCCAAAGACAATTTGAAAATCATGTCTTTTTTTTTTTTTTTTTTCCCTACAAATCTAAACTCTCACTAGCATTTCAGCATTCCTCTGGCATGCTGCTTTTCCCACTGCCTTTCTGGCCTGTCCTTTTTGTTGTGAAGTCCCTGTGTGATTCAGTGTTGTCAGTCTCTTACTGCAGCTTGGCTCATGAGTGTTTTCCAAGTATTTAGGTACAGTCATCCTTGTACAAATGCATGTTAAAGTTAGGAAAAGGTGACACATATCTAAACATTCCAGCTCACTTGTGCTCACTGATGTAATTTTTGTCAGTCTCATACTGTAACTTAGCTACAAGGATTGTCATTTAATTAATTTACTTAACCACAGGGGTATTTTCTTTCAAAACATATTAACAGGCTCTGCTCATCAGTTGTAAAAACATAAACTGAAATAGTTGAGTTTTGGACAGCTGATGGGTCCATTTTACTTTGCTAATGGGACTTAGGCTAAGATTTGGAAATTTAAACAGTCTGGGCTCAATACATCTTTACAGTAATTAGGTGCATTCCCTAGAGGGTGTCTGCTGAAAGAAATGATGGGAAGGTGGTTTGGACTTGAATATTCCCATCAGGTTTTACCAATAGCCTGCTGAAAAGTGTATTTTTAAATACCCATTTGATGTTTAAAGAGCCATTTTTGTTCATTGTGGGTAGGAGAAACAGTCAGGTGAGGTTGTAAAGAGATGTGATTCATTGGCATGGTAGCAGCTGCATGTTTGTGCAAACCCCACCTGGGTGAGGAGGTCTGTGCATGTTTCTGTAGGGAGGCCCCAGCACCTTTTCCTCTGAAAAGGTGATGCAGATGTTTGTATGTCCTTCATCCTGATCTTATTCCTTCCCTTTTGTTCTTCTCTGAAGTTCTTTTCTTTTAACTTTTCTGCAGCGACCCACATCTTGATAGGAACACTTTGCCTAAGAAGGGACTCAGGTATTGGTGTTTCCACATGGTTTAACATCTTCTGTGGTGGCTTTGGAGTTTGCTTTGTGTTTCTGTTGTGGCTGGTGGTGATGGTCACAGTTTGCAAGAGGTGGCAACAATACTCTTCCTTTCCTCCTCCGTTTTTTCCTCCTCCGTTTTTTCCTCCTCCGTTTTTTCCTCCTCCGTTTTTTCCTCCTCCGTTTTTTCCTCCTCCGTTTTTTCCTCCTCCGTTTTTTCCTGATTTATATTGAAAGTTTAAGAGATGCAGATTGTCAGGAACTGCTGCTGAAGTGTCGAGACATAAGCAGAAGAATGAATGTATTTTTTGAAAGCAGATTGACTTTTAAAATTATTGCAGTGATCCCATTGATTTAAAATAGTCTTAATAAGTGGTATCTTACTGTAGGGCATTACTTGAAGGGAATCTAATTAATTAAATAGATAATATCAGCAAATAATAGGCTCTAAGTTTTTGGAAGAAGAGCTATTTACTCATAAATATTTGTCCAAAGGTGATGGCATAGCCCAAGGCAGATGCTGAATTCCATCAGCAGATGAGTGTTGGTATCTGTACCCTATCACATAGCTCACATCACACCTGTCCTGACATACCTATTACACATAGACACAATAAATGAAACTTAAGTTGAAGCCAGAGGGTGTTTTGCCACTGGTGTTGGCATAGACTATGTTTCAGCTATTTTCAATGCCTTCAGAAAAGGCTAAACATAGTCTCCTTTATGATGCTTCAATGCTGTTAGTTTTGAACTAAATGGGATACACTCCACAGGCCTTATATGGATGTCTCTGGAATATGAAATACTGGGTCACAGCTTGTTGAAAAAAATCCTGGTAATGGCTTTGTTGACTTGAATTTGGTTATAATATCACTAAAAGTCAGCTAAGGTTATTGATGTACCAAAATATTTAAATAGTGTTAGAATTTTGGCGTAACTTAGGAAAATGTTTTCCAAGTTACCATTATATTTTTAAATCATATGATGTAGCACACACTACATTTTATCCTACAGTGCTACACAGCACAACTTCTACCTGTAACTTTTGATTCACTCTGGTTTGGTTACACCTGAAGCCATAGGAAAGAAGTTTGTGGTTTGCTTTTCCCCCCGCCAAACAGAGGCAAAATGAATTAGGAACATGGTAGAAGAGCTTGGAGCAGCTCCTTAATTCAGAATTCTATTTGGTTTAGATTATTTAATCCTTTAATTTCATATGAGGATTCTTCCTTTTTTCTTTCTCTCTCTCTCCCACCCCAAGCCTTGTGACATTTCATGGTTGTTTTTTTTGGGTTTTTTTTTTAACAAAAAAGTCAAATAAATATCAAAGTTCATGGTGAAAAAGCTGTTTGATTTTGCAGGTATACTCCATCCTCCCAGTTGCGTAGTCAAGAGGATGCAAAGGAATGGCTCCGGTCCCATTCAGCAGGAGGACTGCAGGATACTGCTGCCAATTCTCCATTTTCATCTGGATCCAGCATAACATCACCCTCTGGAACTAGATTTAACTTCTCGCAGCTTGGTGAATAATAATCTGTTTGAATAATCACAGCAATGCTTTGTGTGTCCTGAAAACAGCATGTTGCACAAGATAATTTTCTTTCAGCAGCTCCAAGGCCCACACTGAACCTGAGGAAGCAATCTCATTGAAATGAGTGTGACTAATTAGCATTATTGTCTCGTATGCCCAAAGGTGCCATTCTTGCAGTAACTTTGAAACTGATTCTCTGGGAGTAATCAGATTAATATAAATTGTGAGCTTTATAAAATGTTCAGTAGAGCGGTCGGTTGATATCACACATTGGGATGCTTAGAGGACATAAGATGTTGCCTGCAGATTTTGCAACATTCTCTAAAATCCAAGCATTTTACTTACTGTGTATGCCAGTCTCATCAGTTTGTTATTTTATCTTTGTCTTTTTCAAGTGGCTTGTTGGAAATTTCAGAAAGCTCAGTCAAGCAATATATAAAAGTCAGGGGAGTTTCAAGTCAGAAAAACTGTCATTCCTTCACTTAATTTCTTTCCTAAATGCATTTTAAATTAAGGAAACAATAAATGCTGATTGGTAGGATCCATGAAGCATTGCAGGTTTTAGTTGACTGTATCAGCAGTTGAAATAGCCTGATTTAAAGTGCTGGTGGTGCTCATCTCTGTTGGGCTGGTTAAATACGACTTCGTTGCTTTGCAGTTTCTTCAGGTTTGTAAATTTCATCTTGAAGTGACATTTGGAAAGAAAATACCTGTTTGTTTATGACTTTCAAAAGCCCGTCCATAATAATTGATATTATTATTTAAAATAAGTATATTGTTTATTATAACTTCTATGTAATAACTAATTTATATATAATAATTGTGTGCAAAATAGTTAAGCTTGCACTTGTGAACTTCTTGTGCAAATTTGGAGCAGATTGCACAGTCACTTATTTCTAGTGTAGTTTTGAGTTGCAGTAATGACATTCTAGAGCCTTTGAGTGTTCTGGAAAGAAACACATTCAATAAGTGGCTTTAAATAAACTGATACTTAGCAAAATTTCAGCTGAATATACACACAGCATGGCTACATTTCCAACAGCTAGCAAACTGTCAGGAAAGTTCATGAAATCAAAAAAAAAAAAAAAAAACCAAAGAGTGTTGTCATAAGCCCAGAAACTTAACTCTTTATGCACAGTGTTGGAGATTATTTGTATTAGCTTTAAAAGTTCTTTGGCCACAAACTGCAATGTTTGGCCAAAAAATACAAAAAAAAAAAAAAAAAAAAAAAAAAAAAAAAAAAAAGATAATGTTTTCATATGTTCCTAAGATGAGAACTTAGAGATATTGGAGTTAAGAAAGGTCATTGGATTTAATTCAAGAGCAAATGGTGATATGAAAGTCAAGCACTTGTGAACTGAATTATCCTGTCTTCTACAATAGTCTGTATCATTTGTTGGTCTATATAGAAACAGGCAATGACAGCACACCAAAAGGAACCTACCCAGATGAACAATGATTTTGTTCTCTTTTTTTACCCACAACTGAACTAATTCTTAGTAAACAGCAGGCATAATTTTAGCACAAAAGTTCTTCTGAGAAATGTGAGATTGCAGTACTTTTATACTCTAAACACTGGCTGGAAGAATATTGGCTTTTAAGGCAAAATTAGTATTTTACAGTTCTCAAGACATCATAGTGGAAAGAAGGTTCTGAACTGCACAGCTATGAGGAAACTAAAGCTCTTCTTATTTGTGACTAAAATACGTAGAAAAATGTCATTTTCTTAGAACTTGAAGGCTCTTTTGAAGAAGCTAAGTCTTGCTCTATATAGACAAAATACTACAATTTTTGTGAAAGAACAGTTCCAAATTAAATGAGGAATTAATTATATAATTCATTCATTCATTAACTAATTAATGAATTAGTTAATGACAAGATAATTTTCTTTCATTCTGCCATGCCTGGGAGGTGTTAGTTAGGTAACTGAGCTTGTTTGTGGAATTACGGACACATGGACATTATGGACATACAGACAGTGTTTAAAATTACCTTCTTTTACTAGAGTTTTCACATTCACTAGCCTAGTTTGAAAACCAGTGAAGCCTGGAGAAGATGATATCAAAAATTTTTGTCTTAAAGTGGAGGGGGAGGGAAGAACCTTTGCTGGTGGAGGATCACCAAAGGGAGAGCAGGAGTGCTGGCAGTACTAAGGCGGTGTTTGTTGCTGGCTTTGCAGCGAGCCCCACGAGCGCGGCGCAGATGAGCCTGTCCAACCCCGGCATGCTGCGCACGCACAGCCTGTCCAACGCCGACGGGCCCTACGACCCCTACGGCGACACGCGCCTCCGCAACAGCTCCATGTCCCTGGACGAGAAGAGCCGCACCATGAGCCGCTCCGGCTCCTTCCGCGATGGCTTCGAGGAGGGTCAGTAAGGTCCTGTGGGGCTGGGGATGCTCAAAGGTGCCGGTTTTTGGCTTCTTTTTCTGCCTCTGCCAGGGTGGGGATTGAAGCTCTGGAGGCAGTGTTTTGTGTTCAGACCCAGCTGTTTATTATTTCTTATCTATGTTACAAGCCGTGAGTTCTACAGCATTCTACTAACAAGCTACAAAATGGCTAACTATCTTTCTATACAAGGTCTTTTAAGGCTAAAATATCCAATTAAGAAATGACACCTAAATTCTTTCACTTTTTACCCAATAACTAATCACTCGAAGTCCGCAATACGGGCTTTTCTGTCCAATTACAAAATACCACCCAAACCCATGAAGAGAAAGGAAGAAGATAAAGAAGGACCAGCCTCCACCCTGAAACCTCCATCTTATTTTATATATATATTACTGTATTCTAAAACCCCAAACTCTTAAGTTTTCCACCCTGGGATATTACACACTTCTAATCAACTACACACCCATAATCCCAGTGCTATCAATCAATTTTGCAAGCCTTTTCCATGGCCTCAGGTCAAGAGAGGAGATAGAGAGTGCTCTCTTCAGTACTCTCCTGGGAGTCCGAGTCTATCAGCACAGAAAGTCTAAAATTCTCAGTGTGCAGAACGCCAGCTCAAAGGGTGGCCTTTGCACAGGAACTGGGCACTTCTCAGTTCAAACACAGCTTTTTCAGCGTGGAGCTCTCAGTGTTAGCTAAAACCATAGTCCTAGTCGTGGTTGTTCTGATTGTAGAATCGGAGTGTTCAAAGAGACCGGCAAGGATCATCAAATCCAACTCCTGACCCTGCCCAGGGCACCCCAACAATCACCCCATGTGTGAACATTGTCCAAACACTCCTTAAAGTCTGTCAGCCTTGCTCCTGTGACCACTTCCCTGGGAAGCCTGTTCCAGTGCCCAGTCACCCTCTGGGTGAAGAGCCTTTTCCTGATATCCAACCTAAACCTGACACAACTTCAGGACAAAGATCCCTCAGATCTTGTCACTGGTCACCAGAGAGAATGATGATGTTTATTCAGTGATTATTTTGGTCAGACACAGGAAATAAGTGTTGTATCTAGACCTTGACTGTTCAAGAAATGGCTTAAACATCCTGTGCTTCATTTTTAGTGCTCTCAGAACTACTAATTCATGCTTAGAGTCAGCACATCAGTGTTTCTTCAATAGGGGTATTCTGAACTTGCACCTCCACATTTCTGCTTATATTATAGATTAGTGATATCAGTTAGACTGTTTCTATCCCAGTAATTTTTCCAGTATTTAAGCTGCACTCAAATAGTCTTATATTCCAAAGGGAGTTGAGTAGCTCTTTGAAACATCTAGGCTTGTCTTTTTTAGAGCTTCGCTATCTTTTCAAATATGTAACCACACCTGATAAAAAGAACCCATGCAAATATAACAAGAAAAAACATTTACCTATAAATGAATATTTAGTTTGATTGCTCCTGATCAGGCATCCTTGTAGCTGTAGCAGGAGCGGCTGTGAGCACACATTAAAATCCTCAAGCATTGCCCTTTGAAAATTCAAGCATGGAGTGGTTCCTAGCAAACATTTTCAATGTTAACTCTTTGAGTCTTAAATCTCCTTTAATTAATTAATTAATTTGTTACTGAATTTAGTCAGTACATTTTATTGTATTTTAGAGGTCTGTGGCTAAGGATTTTTATTAGGAGTTGAAAATTATTAGCATAATGCTGTAGGGCTAAAAGCTGGGACATTGCAGCTTTATATAATAAATATAATCTGGGATGGAATTTGAGTCACTGTATCTGTGTTACACTTCAGTGATTTACCAGAAGAGATACTGCAGCAAAATTTACTTAGGTTTTATTGAAGACATCCTCCAAAAAATTGTAGCCTTAGTCCTTTAACTGTCCTTAAGATTGCAGCAAGTCCATTTTGGCATATTGGAGGTTAAACTCTGTCTTGTAGTTCCGAAATTCTTGTCCAGCAGAGAGCTTGGTTTGGATAAACATCTAGTAAGTATTGCATGTTTGAAGAGAAACCATTAAAAAAAAAAAAGAAGAAAAGGAAAATATAAAAAGAGTTAGGAGAAATGTTCTATTAAGCGCTTTTTATTCATTTGAAAAAAGTAATAAAAATTAAGTCCAAAAAATATCCACTAAGTTACGGACTTGAAAGCGGTTGGAAAATACCACTTTTGTATCTGAGGAAGGAATTTGACCCTGCAGGGGACATACTGAAGATCTCTTTCAGATTTTCCTCAATTTTTTGCACCTAAAGGGATAATAATTTTTACCACATGGATTGAATGTTTAGGTGTAGTCTTTTTTTTTGTCTTCAGGAGAAAGGTCTTCCGTCACTTCCCTGGCTGTAGAGAACGCTCTACTACTAAGCTATCCTGCTTACTAGCTCCTGCTTCTTTCTCAGGGAGTCACAAGGTCTAAGTGGTTAAGTGTTTCTGAATATAGCAGAGGTTTGCCTTCACCTTGAGAGACTAGATTTAAAAGTATTATAGAAATTAAAATTTGTGGTTAATGAACAAATTGATTTTATACAATCATCCAGTGTCAATGAAGCATAAATCCAGGTCTTAAATAAAGCTTACCAACCTAATTCTTAATTATTTCCTAGCACATAATATTACAAGACTTTTGTTTCTCATTAACTTCAAAGCTGGGTCAGGATTTATTCTTTAAAGCCTTTTCTTCTTTTGTCTCTGGGTATGAAGTACAGTCATGTTCTCTCACAGGCACAGCATGTAGGTGGGGAGGTTGGTCATCCTTGCAGTAACTCTTGTGTCAGACAGGGCTCAGGGCTGTGGAGGCGCCAGCAGGAACAGCCTCCAAACTCGCCAGAACTTCATGGGGAAAAACCGCAGCATAAAAATTGAGTGGGCTCTTGGCTCTCCGGTTTCCCCACTCTTCCAGCCAACAATGTTCCCCAGGAGCTGGGCTGTCACTGGCTCTACCCTGATACTTCAGCCTCCAAGAGAAAACAAAAGTTAAATTCGTTATCGTTGGAATATAAATTCTTATTCTTTTTTGTGCTACTGACTGCAATACCAGTTTTTCTTTCTGCTCTCTGGGCAGATGGTCATGGCTAGAGCCTTTCTTTTCTAGCATTAAAAATGATACATGCTTTCCTGTGCATTTACAGTGCCTTAAAATAATAGCTCCAGACCAATTTGGGTTTGTAGGCTGCATGCAGATGCGTGCTGGCTGCAAGAAACAGGAATTGCATCAAGACCATAACTGCCTTCAGGCTCCTAATTAAATAGCCTTCAAGTAGCCATCTGCAGATCCTTTAAAAAGAAATTGCAGAAGTATATTAATTCCTTAGTCGTCCTTGAAATGAGAAATCTGAAATTAGGTATGTGTTCAAATGATGCACGGGAGTCACCATTCATGGAGGAATTGAAGAGCTGTGTAGATGTGGTACCTGAGGACGTGGTTTACTCGTGGCCTTGGCAGTGCTGGGTTAATGTTTGGACTGGATGATCTTAGAGGTCTTTTGCAACCTAAATAAATCTATGATTCTGTGTGATGGTGGTGTTTCACAAGGCAGGAGTAGGGTTCCTTTTTTTTCTTTCCCTTTTTTTTTCTTATTTTGTGTCTTCTCTCCTGTATTAAAGTCCCAATGCGATCTTAAAAATTCCAGCTGACGCTAACTCCGTGTTGAGTCTGACCAAGTCCACAGTAAAGTTTCTGTTTCCTCTCAGGCCAGTTGGTAGGGCTCTTTTTTGGTTATGTCTCTATTAGGAAAAAAATTCAACAAGGAAGAACAAAGGGAGGCAAACCAGAAAATAATACTATATTCCCTCTGTGAGTCCATTTGTGGCCTTGTGCAATATTGCCTCACTTTGGGCTTTCCATCTTGAAAATCTTAATGGGACAATGCAAGTAAAGAAAAGTGAGAAGGAGATCTTAAGCACAGAACATCTGTGATAGAAAGTTAAAATAGAAGTCTTCAGCTTGCAAAGTGGTGGCTGAAGAGATGTGTATTGAATTTTTGTTTGTTACAAAGAGATTGGTCATCCATTCCTTCTCTTAGCACAATGGCATGGGGACACTCAAGGAACTTACTGACTGATTCAGGAGCAGGTCTGAAACAACTGCAGAGAATTACATTTCTGAACACAAGAGAACTTTTCATTACAGACAAAATGTGTCAGTGGATTCAGTAGCAGTTAAGGGAGTTAATGTTAGACAGGTCACAGCAGCCAAAACAATGGTCTGACTGCAGTTTCTACCCCTGGAATTTCCATCTCTGCTGATTCCCAGAAGGTGCAAAGGTGTACCTGGGGAATAATCATTGTGTATCTGTCTCCTCTTTTCATTCTTTTCAGTAAACATGGGCTGTGGTTGCAGCCAGGGCTGGAGCACACCATTAGACAGAGCCTGACTCTGACTCACACCACTTATTTTTATGTTCTTAGTGCAGGACAGCCCTTAATATCTAACTAGAAAGATCATTTTAAGTGAAAATCTGATTACCCAGAGAAAGCGAATGTGTGTGAGGTTTTTTTTTTTTTACTTTCTTGTGGGTTTTCTAAATTGTCTTAAATTCCTTCAGAAGCCAGCTTAGACCTTCTTTACTTCTCTTTCCAATATTGCCTTAGGATATAATGTCAGTGGGAAAGCAGAACCCATTTATTACAAATGTAGAATTGCAGTAGGTAATTAAAGCAAAATGGCAGCTTTTCTAAACCTTTTTTTTTTTTTTCCTGGAGGACTTAGAAGAAAGAAAAAGTGATTTTGTGCTATTTCATTTGATTTGTGTTCAATTACCTGAATTTTGAATGAAAGTTTCAGTTCAGTACTATTTGTTCCTAAAAATAAAAATAAGGGAAAACTAATTTTGTATGTTTCAGTAGCAGAAAAAATAGCTTCAGGTACTTTTTTCAATAGTGTAATAAAGAATGAAATGATGCTATATTTATATGCAAATTCTAATGCCTAAGTAACAGACATCAGGATGGTAACAACCTTGAGAATCACAGAATAGTTAGGGTTGGAAGGAACCTCTGAAGATCATCTAGGTCATCAGCTCGTTCATTTATGTTCATTATTGAATTTAAATGCAAAAATTGCTTGAAATGAATCCTTTTCCAGGAAGTTTTATAGCTATGTTTTCACTGTTAATTTTTTATGAGAGAACAAACTTTGCCTTGTTAAAAAAATGTCCTTGCTTTAAAGAAAGACCAAGAAACCCTGCAGGGAAAGGGAACGTTGGGCTCATTGGTGCACTGATGCAGCTCCCTCAAGTCAGCAGAACGAAGATACAGCTGCATTTAGAGGAGAATTCACAACCCCAAAATTAGACAATGTTTTTTTTTTATCTTGGGTCCTCCACATCTTCTCCTGGGCATCTGGTTACACAGTGGAGCTGGGTGTTGTGGTTTTCCCAGGACATTCCCATCTTGGTCTGTTGCTTAGAAAAAAAAAAAGCTCAGTCTCCCCTAAAACTGAAGATTAAATACTTAGATTTAATTTTGTAATCCCTTCTGCAGTTCTTGGAGTTGTTTTTTTTTTTTAATCTTGAGTAAGCCCTTTTGCAAGAATTTTAATATAAAATATCCAGAGAAATACTTATCTCTGAACAGACCTTCATCAAAACTTTTGTAAACTTTCTTGGTCACACCTAATTTTCCCAAAAAAATAAGTATTACGAGAATTTTAAAACAGCTTTACCAAATCCAAGGTTATGGATTGTGTCAGCTGGCAATGCATGCTTCAAACTGTACATTATTGGTACGATAATATAATTAAGTTTATGATGGATGATGAAATTTGTGAAAGTATTTCTACAGCAGATTGGTGGTTTACAGTGGATGATTTATGATGATTCCACCCTGTGGTTAGTGCACTTAAATTCATTGTGTTTATTTTCTATCCTTTAGTGCATGGTTCTTCTCTCTCTTTGGTGTCCAGTACATCATCTATTTATTCCACAGTGAGTATAATGAAATGAAGTGTGTATTTATTCATCAAAATTATTGAATTGGCTGGTCTTGCTGTACTAGTTTTGCCATTCAAGGAGCAGGAAAAAAGCAGTTTTCATTTGACTGTGTTCTGAATGCTAGCTAGGAAAGGAATGTTTACATTCTTGAAGATGTTTATGTTCTTGAAGATGTCTGTGGATATTTAGCACATTAAACATATACTTCAATGACCTAAATTGATTTTTTGAGTCTGTATTTTATGCTGTGCTAAGTAGGTTTTGCTACAAAGCACCTTCAAATCTCCTCAGATATGAGGAGATTCGAACTTCATTACTTACAGCATCCCAAAATTTGCCATATAAAGTCATCCCATCCTTATATTAATGATTTGCTACTAAAGAAGTTCACTTTTCAATGCATAAATAATTCTAAAAAAAGGCAATTTAGTCACTGTGCCAGTAACATTTTCTCCACACGTGTGTATTCATTTTGGTTATCTGATCCTAAAATAAGGCTGGCTGGAGTTTGAAAATAGCAGGGGAGCACTCAGAGCTTCAGGTTCCTGTGCTTGCTGCACGAGTGTCCCCAGTAGTTGTTTGGATGGTTGTAATTTTCCTGGTGGCTGGTAGTGGGCATGTTTTCTTAGAAACTGTGGAGTGTGTGACTTCCTACCCCATACTTCTCCTTAGCTGATAACTGGTTAGAAACAGGCCAAGTAGTCACAGTTCTGTCATGCTGACCACAGTGGATGGTCAGTACATCCACTTGGCATCCTCACAACTGGCTGTGTGTCCTCACTATTTCATTGCCACAGTGCCTAGGCAGCACCCAAGTGGGAGGAATTTTTAATTTTTTGTTTTCACATTACTTCGGAATGCAAAAATGTGACCTCCTTGCCATGGAGAGCTGAGCGTGGGATGAAGGGAATTGCCTGGGATCAGCCAAGTTCTGTGGCAGTCCTGGCTCTTCAGAGCCCCATGCAGTCCCTTATGGACAGAGCCAGGACTTCTTCATGCCTCCGTGACTGAGATCAGAGGTGCACTGGTCAGCAGGCTGAGGTGGAGCCCAAATTCCTTCCTGCACAAGGAAGTACCTCCAGCAGCCTGTTTTCTTTTTCCTTGAGAGTAAATAAATTAGGAGATGAAATTAGACTGAATATGGATCAGGGAATGCAAAATAGGGAATTCATATTAGAGTTCTTGAAATACAAAAAGATAATATGCATAAATATGTCAGGCTGGTTATGTTGTAATATCCTCACATACTTCCTTTTATTTTCCAGCCTGAAGAGAAGTGCCAGTCAGAGGTAAGAGCATGTCCTCTTTGACAAGCATAAATGACACTGTGCATTGTATTATGTCTTGCTGTTTTATTTCTCCTTGTTATGATGCAATAAAGTGCTCTCTTAAAACCCACAGATTCGCAAGCTGCGGAGAGAATTGGACGCATCCCAAGAAAAAGTGTCAGCTCTGACAACTCAGCTGACTGCTAATGTGAGTACAGCTCTTGAGAGCAAACATTAACCTGGGATGCATTTAATGCAGCAATTACAACCCAGGTTTTTTAAGTGACAAAAAGATTTCATGTGTATAACATTCAGTTCGTATTACTGATGTGTTTAAAGAAATAACTACATGCATGTGGAGGACATGTCCAAAAATAACATCCTCTGCCCTACTAAGTTATCTTACACCTTTCTTTAAAAACTGGGTTATAATACTAATTTGGCTTTGTACCTGCGTAAGCCATCTTAAGGTCCTGAGAAGAGACAGGGTCTTTTTTTATAAACAGTGTCTTGCTTTGACATTTGGGTGGGATGAGATACAGATAAAGATTATAATTGGTAGGAATAAAAGTTAATAGAAACTTGGACTGAAATGCATTATGTTTTTCTGTTGCATAAAGATGTGGGTTAATGGCATGATAAATACTACTGGCATAAGGGGCTCTGGAAACTGATGTAAAGTTAAGCCTGAAGAACTGAGATACATGACTTTTTGTCAGTGTTGACAATACTTCTGCTTGTGCCTTTCAGGAATTTGAGGGATAAGTAATTTAAGACACTTGGGGGGGAAAAATACTTGGAATCCAGGAGGTGTTGAGGCAATACTATATGACCCTGAGCAAGTTTATTTGGGTGTTCTGTGCTGCAGTCACAGATAGCAGGAATCTGCAACACAGAAGCTTGCAAGGAAAATAAGCAATTCTGGAGTAAAGAAGCTGGAGATGAATAGTCAGCAGGTCAGACTATACTGACATCCTGGTTTATGGGAATGAATAAACATCAGAACATGTGCTGCTTGAAGGGGACTTCCGTGTCCATCAGCTCTTGGAACTGGGGGAGTGCAAAGCCTGGGACAGGAAAGGACAGGTTTCACCTGAGCAGTATCACAGGAAAGGTTCAAGGGGAAACCTGTGCTGTCCACTCTTGGCATCACAGTGCTTCATCCAGCTTGAAAATGGGGCCAGAAAACCAAGAGCACAGTTATAACAGAGAAGTCAAATAAAAGGGCTTTGGCTGCCCTTAGTTAAAACCACTTAGTTACTGTCCCAAGAGGAAAAGAAAACAGTCTAAACATCTTTCAAAAGTTAAATCTTATATTTGCCTTTCAAATACAAAGGGGATGGATACAGGCGTTGGTTTTCCCTCAGAAGCTTCTTTTACTTGTGGGAAAGCAGGACCAGATTCTCTTGCAAAGGTTTTTTATGATGTTGTTAAATAACCCAGCTTGTGTCCTTCACACAAAGAACTTGTCAGCTGAGCAGCTCATTTGGCTCTGCCTTGGCTTTATTGCTTTCTCCTTCCCACAGTTCAGGGTCACTGGGCTGGTGCTCAGCACAGGCTGCTCACTGCCTGGCCCAGCTGCTCTTCATCTGCCCAAGAATTTCTGTGTGGTTACTACCACTCTCTTTGTGGAGAGCAGTTTTTATTGTACACTCCTGTATGTTTTTGTTTGGATTGGGTCGTTTGGGTTTTTGTGGGTTTTTCTTACAGGCTTTTCTCAAAAAAAAAAAAACCAACAAAACCAAAACAAACGAAGCATATAATTTATTATTTTGATAATATTTTACTTAGTTCACTTTGCTAAAATTTTGCAGTGTTTTATTCATGCTATTTAAACTTCTTAGACTTGAGTCTGCCCCTGATTTCTCCATAAATTGGCAACAGAGATGTTGCTGTAACTGTCCCAGTATTAAATTTCAGTCTTAAATTTCAGTCTTTAGCCACCTATTTCCTGAGAACATCCTTTTTCCACGTAAAAGGCAAGGTCTGTTCCCAAAAAGATTTAGATTAATAAGTGCTGTTAGTTAAGACACTTGGACATTTCCTTTAGACATGATTCCTTTAAAAAAAGGCAATTAGAACTTCAGCAATTCAAACTAATCTCTTCAATTTACAGTTTTTTCCCTGAATTTCCTTGCATAGACACTGCAGTTGTTGATGCTTCTCAAGCCATCAGGGGCATGAATTTGAAAACATTTTGCTCCAGCTATAGAAAAGGAGGATATATTTTTTTCCATAGCTCACTGAATGATTTTGAGATAGGAATGATGGCAAGATCCGGTTTTGAAAGAGCAACTTTTAAGGCTCAGGTCAAAGCATTAAGGGTTTGTATCTGTTACTAATTCATGCACTCCTGCTTGCCCAGTTATTTTTTGCTTTTGAAAATTATTGCTGAGGATCCCTGAATATCAGCTTTGTTGTTCCGTGTTCATCCTCCCCAACAGAAGCTGTGCATTCTGTGTTTTTAAAATAAATATTTAGATTTTCCTATGTGTGTAGTGATAGGTTTTGAATTACTTTTTGCCATTTTCTCACAGTCTCAGCTCTGCTTATTTTCATAGGGGCTGATGGGAATGAGATCTGTGCATCCCCGTGTTATTGTACTGCTCATGTTTGTTTTCATTGTGAATGTGAGAACAGTTATTTAGCAGCAGTGTGCTGCTGCTGCTGAATGAGTCTGAAATAGCTCTGTGAAAGGTTTTTCTATTCTGTATTTTTTAGGTGAGAAAATATCTTTCTCTGCTTGGAAAGATTTCACGATTTTACTTGTTATTGTGCATATAGAATTCTTTTTAATAGATAAATAAAGTTTTTTTTTAATGGTTAGTGTAGATTATTATGGCTAATGAGACAAATACGTATTGAAATACACCTGTGATGAGTTATGTATGCATATGAGTATCCATAAAACAGTGCCATGTCATGGCTCTAGAAATACAGTTTCTTACGTTCTTTTCCATCTTCCCAATCTCCTTTTCCTTCTTTTTGCTTCTCAGTCATTTTCAATTCCTAGCTGATGTCTTTCATGTAATGGACACTGTGTTCTCCGTGCTTCTCGGGAGAAGAATGTTGAATCTTTTTCCCACAGAGCACATTTTTTCCTTTGCTTGGGAAAAGAAAAGAGGGTAATTGGCCAGGCAGCAGGAATTTTGGATTATATGTAGCAAGCTGACCTTGGCTGGAAGTGAGGTACGCTCAAATATGGAAGTCTTAGAGTTAGATGCAAGCACATTATCTGGCAAAGCATCTGTTCTCCTGGTGGGATAACCACAGTGAGAGCCTCCACCCCTGCGACTACCAACATCTTTTTGCCTTAATTATGCACAAAGGAAAATAGTGATTTAGTTGGAGGAAAATTTCTGCCTGAGTCTTCTTTATACAAAAACTTGATTTATATTTTATTGTTGGCAAGCATTTCCATAATGTGTGCTCCACTCATTTGACCTTTTCTAAGCAGTGTTGTTTTTTTTTTTTTTGCACCATTTACACAACAAACAATGCCATGCACTGGGTGGACTGATTAAATACCTGCAGAAATACTCCTTTTTGGGGGAAGAGAACTGACTCCTCCTGTGTGGTTTGGTTTCAGGCTCACCTGGTGGCAGCGTTTGAGCAGAGCCTGGGGAACATGACAATCCGACTGCAGAGCCTGACCATGACAGCAGAACAAAAGGCAAGCTTCAAAAGGATTTGGAAGTCTTCATTTCTGTTTCCAGCATTGTTGCCCATGCTCCTTCTGTAGTTGTGTGGGGGAAAAAGTCACAAACATAAGTCAATTTGACTTAGCTCCCTCATTTGTGGTGGCAGAGTAAAATGTAAAAAATAATTTGTATGAAACTGCACTGGGATTTTGTGGCAACTGATCATTCCTATCAATTGTTGCTTTGGACACAAGTCTTCAGTATTGGATATTTCTCTAATATATTTCATCCCAGTGCATCCATACAGGGGCATGTTCGAAAGAAGCACTAAGAATACTTACAAGACTGGCAGCATTGTGGTTTTGGACACTGTGCTTGAATAGACATTATTTCTGCATTACAGAATACATGCATATTTTTGGTATCATAATACCCAAGCTGTTTTGCACCCTGTTGAGGGTGTGCTTCCCCAGGTATCCTAAACCTCATTTTCACCTCTTTGTACATATGTATTCCATAAATTCACTATGAACTATCAAAATTCAGATGGAAAAGCAGCTTCTTTGGTGTTCTTCTCCCATGTACTGTCATATGGTTTTTTTCCCATATTCAAGGACTCGGAACTGAACGAGTTAAGGAAGACAATTGAACTCCTGAAGAAACAAAATGCTGCTGCTCAGGCTGCCATCAATGGAGTCATCAACACACCTGAGCTCAACTGCAAAGGTGAGAGACAAGCACCACATACAGAGACTCCAGGGCTCTCCAGTAAGACGTCAGTCCTCTGGGTAATAGCTGATGTAACCATCGGAGTTACGCAGAGACCAGAGTCACCCACTAATTTACACTGTGATAAATTGCTGAAGGAAAAGTTTGAAGCATCTCAGATTTTAATCTCGTCACAAGAAACAAGGATTTCAAATACGCAATCCATCCGTTGGGATAAGTGATTGTCAGAGTGCTGGTTTCCCAAAATCTTTCTTCAGGATTGCATTATTAATGCCATTCATCAAATTTCCTGGATAATTTTGACACTGCCTCCGTTCACATCCAGGTCCTGGAGCTCCTCAGCCCACAGACCTGCGGATCCGGAGGCAGCACTCCTCGGACAGTGTCTCCAGCATTAACAGTGCCACCAGCCACTCCAGTGTGGGCAGCAACATCGAGAGCGACTCCAAGAAAAAAAAGAGGAAGAACTGGGTAAGTATGTTTTAGCAGACTCTGTGAGGTTTTTGTGAAATTGTCAGGACACGCGCGGTGAAATCCACCCGGCTGCTCCTTCCTGCTCCGTGCAGCAGGTCAGCACAAGGACTGTGCCCTGCTTAAATCCTGGGTAAACTCTCCTGTGAAGGCTTGATTGAGTTGCAAGTGATGTATATCCTTGTATTGGCTCTTCATAGGATTGAATTTTAGCTTGACAGCTAAAAGGCCAGTCTTAAATCAGAAATAGCTGTCAAAGATCAGTTCTGGCCAATAGGGTGTCCAGTCCCTTAAGGAAAATGTGGCATGCTGTCATTAAACAAACTCACAAGAGAAGATCATTCTTGTGGGTTTTCTTTTGTTTTTATCTCGTAGGGCTTTCTTATAAGTGAACATATTAGACAGTTTAAGAACTCTTTGTCCAGCATTAACTTGGACTGCTAAGAATAATATTAAAAAAACACTGATCTTTAAAAATTTTTTGTGACGGACATCTCTTTTGGAAGTTTTTGCGTTACTTACCTGTCCTTTCCCATTTTTCCCTCTTTGCTTATCATGTACTATGTACAAGGTACCCTGTACTGGAGGAAAGGTACATTGTCTTCAACTCCATTTTCAATTAGACCAGAACTGCCTTAGTGACCTAGTCTGATTGTAGTTTGGACTGAAGCCCCTAGATCCTTTATTGTAGTCAGTAAAACAATCCACCCCTTTCTTCCCACCGAATTTAAATCTCCCTGGATCTCCTGGGTATGCAGAAAAATCTGTAGAGATGCAAAATGTGGTTAGAGCTGGTAAAAGCTATTTGCTCAGTATTCTCTCAAAAATGTTGATGAAACTCCTGAACTGTAAGAAAGAGCTTCCTGAACAAGTTCTTGTTATTCTCTCTTGTCTCAGAGGTTTCATTTTGGTATCTCTTGGTATTGCCAGCTGCTTCACAAAAGAAGCATTGCCACCCTTAAATAATTGGTAGAATGGAAACATCTTGTCCAAATCTTTCTTGTACTGTACGTTAGTATATAGACAAAGTAAATTGCTGTAACTTCTAAATTTCTAGCAACCCTTAGTTTGTGACACAAAACTTTTGTAGTCATTAAGCCTTGGTTAAGATAAACACTTTTTAAAATTCTTGTTTAGCTTCTATTCTTTGTTATTGTAACCTAGTGGATATGGTCTTACATCAGCCTACATTTCTCATTCATCAGATAACTATTTTTGAAGAAGGTTAAGGGAACATTTTTTATTATAAAGTTAAATAAATAAATTTTCGTGAAGTAGAAGAAACAGGACAGTATTTTTATGTTGTCATTAAAAATGAGTACATCGTTGCTATGAAGTGAAGATTGGAAATTAAAACACTACAGAGAAGAGTGAGTTGAATCTGATTCACGGATTCTTTATTCCACCAGTGCTGAGGAAGTTCTCAGCTAAGGTCTTTGTGTTCCATGTAGAAGCAATGCAAATGTCCATTCAGAGCTGAAACATCAGAGTTTCAACATTTCTCATTGTAGGAGTCTTTGTCTAACTTAAAAGCTCATATTAAGCCAGCCTGTGTACATAAGCAATTTTTGCAATGTCATTAAAAGGTGTACATGGAGTATCCTGAGTGGTAGGGGAACCATGAGGATCATCAAGTCCAGACCTTGATTCCATGGGGTTTTACCTTTTAGGGCTCCCTAAAAGTGAAACTTTAAATATCTAAGAACATTGTCCAAATGCTTCTTGAACACTGCCTGTTGAATTGTAACTTTGGGGTTGCAGCAGTTTAATGACTTGAATATTAATTCTTGTTTGGAAAATGGCAGTCACATTACTGAAGGTTAAGGTAGTTGCAGGTAGGTAGAAAAGTTGCAGTCTTTTCAAGTGGTGAAATACCTGTTCCTGCAAGGAAAAATACATTACTAACTTGGCTCTTAGCCAAAGCACTCTGCATAAGCTAAGGAGAATATGTAATTTAAATAGTTAAGAGAGTTTGGATCTGGTGTCTTCCTCAGGTAATGAAAAAAAATGGCCATATGTGGTTTGAGACTCCTGGTTTTGGAAAATACAGGGTTCTGGTTTTAAAGTAACTGTTTGTCTTTGTTAATCATTGATTGTGTTTGTCTCAGAAATCCAAAACTTCTCTTACCAGTGGCTTTATCTGTTAAAACATGTCTTTTTTCCTTCCCCCACTTCCTTTTGCTTGCACTTCTTCCGGCAGGTCAACGAGGTAAGGAGGACCTACTTTAAACTGGGACGTACAAAGCTAACCCCCATTGACACCACTAACCCTTCCAGCACCATTAACCTGGGCTGGGCCCTGTGCCAGCACAGCTGCAAGCTGTCACCATGCTGCTGTAAAGCCTATTGCACTGAGCAGAGTTTGCTGTCAAATAGCTCTTAAAAAATAGGAAGCATCCGTAGCCACTCCTATTGACCTTATTAATCTGATAAACTAGTTAAGGAAAAAAAGAGCCTTTTTATTTTTCACCCATGTTACTGTGTATGTGAGTATGGCTGTAGCACCTGCAGTATTTGCATGTTGAGAGTTTTTACTCTGTGAGGGTTTTTTTGCCTGGTTTCATTCTCAATGATGGATCTGCTGCTATGGTCTTTTTTTTTTTTTTTTTTTTTTTTCCAGTTACGCAGCTCCTTCAAGCAAGCTTTTGGGAAAAAGAAATCTCCCAAGTCAGCATCTTCTCATTCAGACATTGAGGAGATGACTGATTCTTCCTTACCTTCCTCACCAAAGCTACCACACCACAAGGCCACTGTTTCAACACCACTGCTGAGAGCTTCTCATTCCAATTCCCTGTAAGTGATTTCTGTAATTTTTAGACAGAAAACAGCATGAAAGGCATCTTGCTGCATTGGTAGAGGAAAGGCAGAGGACAGAAATGCTGAATTCATGTATTCAGAGATTTAAAGATGCATGAGCTGACTCCCAACCCAGTACCTTTCCATTAGTGTCCAGGAAGCCAAAAATCATTGCATCAGTACTGAAGTGTAAATATTTCATTGGGTTGCTCTCTCAGAATGTACTGATTATCAAGAATATTTATAACCAGGGTGACCTTGAGGTGCCAAATTAATTGGATCTCTGCTGTTAATTAAACAAACCAGGTCAAATCTGGGATTTTGTTTCTTTTGTCTAAACACAGCACATACTGTATTAATCTGCTGTGATAAGTTCCCAATTTTATTGACAAATTCAGATAAAGGAAAGGAAATCCAATACTGTGGATTAGTGATACAGATGAACTCATCTAACTGCTTGTGTCTGGTGGATGGAGATGATGCACTCCTCTTTCCTTCTGTAGCTCCCCAGCCACCTGTGCCAGGTCCTTTCCATGGCCACCTGTGAAATAAAGTTTAACAATTTGAGTCTGAACTCACATTTGAGAATGTACATGGAAAATTTAGTGAAACAGCTTTTATGTTAATTCCATCAGCAGCTTTGTCACTAGAGCAGGATAAATAAATACAGAAAGTTGTAACAGTCAGTATTGTGAAACCCGTAATTAACAGACAGCCTCCTGACCTTGAGAGGTCATGCAGAGCTTCCAGCCTGATTTCAGAACAAATGCATTGGAGTAGTTCCTCTCCACTTGTTTTCACATGAAGAGGTGAAAACAATAGCAATAGTTTCCAGCTGTATAACAGTGATGCAATGTCAGTAGCAGAAGATAATCCCCCATGATTTTTGTATCAAAGCTTCTTCTGTCTCTTGAGCCTAACTCAGTGCATTTCTGGTGACTACAGCAAGTTGTGCTTTACAACTCTCAGGCCAGAAAATTGTCAAATGATGATCCCATCTGTCATCAGCCAAAATGCTGTATGGGTACATCTCACCTTGCTATGGAAGCCAAAAGGATACATATGAACAAGGAGTAAATATGTGAACTGGGGGAAGGATAGAGAACAAGTAAAACTGGTGTCTTTTGGCTTACTGTTTTTTTGGTGGGGAAAACATCTCTCATGAAACTGATTTAGGGAAAGACATGTTAGGTAAAATTTCCCTTAAAGCGTTGCAGCTGCATGGTTGATCTTTTTAGAGATACAGTTACAAATGTGCTGGAATGTTGTTACTCACTCTGATTTTTTTTTTTTTTTTTTTTTTTTTTTGGTGGGCGGAGGGAAAAAAAAATGCCACCACAATTTTTTTAAGTGTAAGTTCTTTAAAGTGACCAGGAATTTATCATGCTTGAATAGGTGTAGAGTTCCAAAGCCCTTCAGAGCAGTTCAGGGAAACCCAGCTGTGCACACCTGGTGAGCTTTAAATCTGTCTGTGAACTCATCAATCTCCAACCAGCTGCTGTTAAATACCTGCACCCCCTTAATTTATTTAGATTTTGGCTTTAGAAGTTTTCCTTTATAGCAACTACCATAAAAAAAAAATGAAGACTATCCAATAGTAGGTGATTTCAGAGAATTCTGTTTCAGATGCTGATTTTAAAAAAATAACCCTCAGACATCTTTGTTTCACCAGACTCTAAAATATCCATGGCCTGTTTAATATTTGACTTACAGCATTACTAATTCAATAAGCCAAAACTGCTACCTGCTTCAAGCAGAATAAAAAGAATAATTCCTCTTCTGCTAATAAATCCCGGAGGAGCAGCAGAAGGAGAGGAACAAATGTGTGTTTGTCGGTGCCCTGCAGTATTTCGGAGTGCACGGACAGCGAGGCCGAGACAGTGCTGCAGCTGCGGAACGAGCTGCGCGACAAGGAGATGAAGCTGACGGACATCCGCCTGGAGGCCCTCAGCTCTGCCCACCAGCTGGACCAGCTGCGCGAGGCCATGAACAGGATGCAGGTGAGGAGCAGCCACCCCGCGTCCTGAGCCTGTGCTGCTGTGGCCAGCCTGCCCCACAGTACCCATCTGAGTGCTTGCTAAAGGCTCTGTTTAACCTTGTGTTAAACCTTCATTAAAGGTCAGCTTGAACACCTGACATTGCTGCTCTCAGCTGCAGCTGTTTCAACCCCAAGACAGGATTTTGGAGACAGCATTTTGTTGGCTTTCAAATGTTTCCACACTCTCTGCCTTAAGGTAGTTGCATTTCAGTGTTAGTGAAGTCCCACATGTTTAGGTATTTTTAGGATACTTTGAAAAGTTTCACAGAAAGGACATTTTAATAATTAAAATCCTTAATTAAACATGATGGAAACAGCATTTCTGCTAAACTACCTTTTATTCTTAAATTTCTTATGTCGCTATCTTAGAATCATGTTTTCACTGTGCCTTCTAATGTCTGACTTGTCTTTTCAAGAGTGAGATTGAAAAGTTAAAAGCAGAGAACGATCGGCTGAAATCTGAAAACCACGGCAGCTGTAGCAGGGCTCAGTCTCAGGTTTCCATCTCCTCCTCTCCCAGACACTCGGTGGGTCTCTCTCAACACAGCCTGAACCTCACGGAGTCAACCAGTCTCGGTGAGTTTAATGAGAAGGGTGGTGGGGCAGGTTTTATCATGCACTTGGAAGGCTTGAGTTGGTTAGCCATGGAAAAATGAAAGCGTGAGGATTATTAACAGCTGAGGTGTGGAAATATGTCACGAGCTGGCACAGAGCCTTCTTTTAAATATCATCATAGGTCTGCTACACCCTTGGTCAGAGGTGTCCAATTATGACCTCAGCTCTGAAAAGTCATGTTTAAAGCCATTTAATGGTGCACATTTGCCAGGGGATATATCATAGGAAGGAAAATACAGAGTAACTGGCTAATAATTTTCAATGACCTTCCCTTTTTGAGAGGGCTGTGTGGCAGGGAAGTCAGTCAGCCTGGTTCTTGTGCTTTACCTCGGGGCATGTGAAGCCCAGACATGTTGTGTTTGACTACAATAAACCAGAATAGTCTCCATTGTGATTGAGCTCCAGCTGTGAAGCTGTTGATGTTTCCTGTCCACAGACATGCTCTTGGATGACAGTGGAGATGGCTCTGCCCGGAAAGAAGGAGGCAGGCATGTCAAAATAATTGTCAACTTCCAGGACAAGATGAAATGGAAGGAGGTGAGTTGTGTTTCATCCCCAGCTTTGAAATGTAGGTGATTTCAGAATGTGTGAGGGAACTCAAGCTTGCAAAGGACTTCCAAGGATTTTCTCAGGAAAACAGTTCATTGGTGTGTTGATAGTGGTAGAGAGGGCACTTGGCTACCTCCAGCTTCCTTGGAGCTGCTGAGAGGGACTGAAATGCCAGAAGCACCAATCTTATGGTAGCACTTGACAAATCCAAACTATACCATAGGGAGATCTATACCATATCATTCTAGTTCAAGTTGTCCTCTCTGGCACAAGTACCCTGTTTAGAATGACATCTTTCAGATGTTTTCCATCTTACAAGTACATGAAAGAATCCTAAGTACCCAAATAAATTGCAAATGTTGTAAAGTTGCATCCTGTCTCATGGGTTTAACATACTACATGCATGAATGTATTACACAGTCCTTGACAAGCAATGGCCTTGCTATCTCACATTTTTGAGCACCTTTAAAAGTGTGTTTAAGGAGTAACTTCATGTCTTCCTGAGGGGTGGAATCTGAATGATCAGAAATAAAATGGACTCAGAAGCTCTTTCCATTAAATACCTACTTTGCATTAATTATTAGAACCCTGGATAAACAGTAAAACTGCTGCTGATTGACTGCAATCACAGCAAGTTTTAGTAACACTTCAAATCTTTTAATAGAAATTAGTTTTCTCTTCAATTAATGTTTCACAGTGTAGAAAACCAGAAAAATTATATTTATTCTCATTTCTTTTATCTGCCTTAAAAATCACTTACAAAATGCTGTGATACATCAAATACAGTATATAAATATAAAGTCTCTTTCTATATTACTAGAGCCATGCATACATTAGAGCCATGTATAATTTATCTATATATATAGGTTTCTGTGCTCACAGCAGAATTTCTAAAAATAAATAGGATAAACCTAGCAAATGTAACATCTTTAATTGTGAAGTCATGGAAGAATGAACTTGACATCTACTTCTCTGTCTGGAATATTCCTAAGAGACTTTCTGTCTCATTGCTAAACTGTAGTCCTCTCTGAGATTTTTGAATTGTTCATGGATTGATTAATAAATACCTTTAACTTAACATCACAGCCACCTGAGTATTGTTTAGGTTTGTGACTCCAACACTGTGGAAAAGGTTTATCATGTGAAAAGAATTCCATATGCCGTTCAGAATTCACCATATAGAGTAGTAAGGATGCACCATTATTTAGAAGTAAAAAGGGAGGGGGCAGGGAAGCCAGCATTTTAATTACATTAACCACGCTTGTCTGATAGAGTTATTCCTGTTCCTTTAGGATTCCAGGCCTCGCACCTTCCTCATAGGCTGCATTGGAGTCAGTGGGAAGACCAAGTGGGATGTTCTGGATGGGGTTGTAAGACGCCTGTTTAAGGTCAGCGGGTACAAAATGCTGCGAGCTCGAGTTCTCCTGTGGGGGTGTTCTGATGGCACCAGGCTGTATTTAACTTTGTGCTGTTTAAGCGCTGTCACAGCAGCGAACAAGCCCCCAGGGCTGCCTGACTTCCCGTGTCCCTTTCCCACCCCAGGAGTACATCATCCACGTGGATCCCGTGAGCCAGCTGGGGCTGAACTCAGACAGTGTTCTGGGTTACAACATCGGGGAAATCAGGCGCACCAACAGCGCAGAGACCCCGGAGCTGCTGCCCTGTGGGTACCTGGTTGGAGAAAACAACACTATCTCAGTTACCATCAAAGGTAATTTCACCTGACCTGCCTGGTGGAGTTTTCACTATTGAGTTGATCAGAGCTTGCTGTGTCAAGAAACCCAGAGTAAAGACTTTTTATTTTGGTGCTTTTTCCTCATCCTACCATTTATTTACTTCCTGCTATTTTCATTTGATAAAGTCAGCACTTAGGGTATGCTAAGTCTGTAATTTCAGCAAGTTTTCAACCTGAAGCTCTAGGAAAAATGACACACTTCACAGACCTTCAGTTGTCCTGGAGAAGACTTCGCACCACAAAGGATGCAGTGGAGCTGTTTGAGCAGCAAAGTACTTTCCAAATGAGTGAAGCCTCAAAATTTCATTACCTCTTTATCACAGCTATACTTATTATTTCCTTCATTCAGGGTTAAAAAAAATAGATCTTGACTCATTTGTTTGATTGGTCTTACTGAAGGGTCCCTCCTTAAGTACCAGGAAGGAGGGAGCCCAAATTGTATGAAACTCCTTAAAATCTGGATTTCTCAAAATGTATGGTTTTCAGAATTCCCATCGATTTCATTCTGTAAGACTTAGTAAACACAAATTTAGTATTTGTGTTTCTCATTTGGTTTCTTAGGGAAGAACTTTTTTATGAAAACTATGCTGTGAAACTGAGTTCAGGGTAAAGCCCTCAACTGCTGCATTTTGAACATATATCAGTTTCCTCAAAGTTAGACCAGTGAAATCTGCAGACAGATGGTATTTGAGAGCAGTGCCAAACATTCTTCAGATCAGCTTTGAAATTTGACTGAAAGCAGATTTTTGAATATTGGTGTAAAAACCAGGTAACCTTGTATAGCAAAGCAGTGGGCAGGAAGACAAAATAAACTGTGAAATACATCAACTTACTGAGGCTTGACATGAACCCAGGATATTCTACTCATATAAAATGCATTGTCCAGTCATAAATCCTAACTGAAATATTGCATAAGGTCTAACTGTGTCTGCAAAGCTGCAGTTTGAGTTTATATTCAACTTGCACTGACTTGACTTGTGCCTTGAAGGCTCATAAGTGATAATAGTTTTCAATAAAAAAGAAATGTATTTAATCAGTTTATGGAAAATCACTTACATATACCTTTGAGATATAAAGCTGCCTGTATAAATATTTAATATTCCAAGTAACCACTGAGGTGCAAACATTTCTCTGGGTGATCTGCCAACTTCGCTTCCTGCTGTTTATTTTGAAGCACTGTGTATTTTTCCTAAGCCAATTCTGCCTAAAGTGACTGCTGACATGGCATAAATGCTTATCAGTAGGAGTTTTCTGTTAGAGGAGATAACTATCAGCATACAGAGGAGGAGTTTAATTACAAGCATTTGGGAAAGTAGGGGGAGTTGATGATAGCTGGGAGTTTTTTGTCTAGTGATCCAAAAGTAAACAGGTACATTCACGGTGAGTGGGTGGTGAAATGCTGTAAAATGGATGGCTTGTGCATGAAAAATGTAGCCTGAAATCCTTTGGTGTGGCACTTCCAAAGGGCCTTAGGGACGCAGCTGAGGACTTAAACAGGCTGAAGGAGGATCCAGGCTAAGCCCACGGGTCACCCCTGCACTTCCCTGGTTTATGTGTGCCTCTCTCAACCACGAGGGATACTGGGGTGGGGAAAGGGTGTAGCTCTGAAGTGAAGAGCAGCTTGATCAGGTCCCTTTGTATAAAAACTGGAAATCCCCCTAAGAGAGGCGTGTTTCCCTGCTGCAGGTATCTGTGAGAACAGCCTGGACGGGCTGGTGTTCGAGTCGCTGATCCCCAAGCCCATCCTGCAGCGCTACGTGTCCCTGCTGATGGAGCACAGGAGGATCATCCTGTCCGGCCCCAGCGGCACGGGCAAGACCTACCTGGCCAACCGCCTGTCTGAGTACATGGTGCTCAGGGAGGGCAGGGAGCTGGCTGAGGGCATCATCGCCACCTTCAACGTCGACCACAAATCCAGCAAGGTGAGCACGCGCCTTGCACAGCCACGTGTCCAAAACGAGAGACCTTTCCTAATCCGTCGTTTTGAACTGAGCTTCATTTTCAAAGCGTTATGTTTATCCTGAAGGAAGCAATGCTTAAAGGTTTTCAGATTCAATTGATTATGGGTCTGGAACAGCAGGCTTCCAGGTGTGTATTTAAACACTTAAAGGTGTCATGATTTTCAAGTGTTTGGGAGCCTGAGAATTGCCCAGGAAGATAAACACCTGCATAAAATTCCCAGAGACTTGAGCAATCCCTATTGCATGTTGGCACTTTTCCCAAAACCCTCAAATGCATCTGCAGGCTGTCAGGAGCTTCTGCAGCTGCGGTTATCAGCAGTTGTAGTCTTGTGCTGGGTTTGGAGGGGCTGTTGTGCAGACACATTCCTGGGCAGGTAAGGCATGTCTTTGCTTTTTTATGTGCTACTGGTTTTGATGAATATACTTCCAGTGATCATCTAGATTAAAGAAAAGAAAGAAAAAAAAATCTGTGTATTTGATGGCCTTAGGCATATTTTCCTCTGGAGGAAAGGGATAGTTGAAATTGTGTTGTAAGCCACTGGTATGATTTCAGACATGCTTTAAAGCTGCTGAGAGCATTTCAACACTCATCAGCAACACCAAAAGCTCATCCTTCTTTCCATCATTACTGAAGGCATCCAGATTTGGCCTCTGATGAGGGATGATTTGTTCAGATTAATTTTGTTATCTGTATTTTGATGGAAACACAGTTGCAAGATGATAAAACAAATCTGGCTGGAATGCAGAGTTTGGTTTGGTATGGGGAGAGTTGATCAAGTTCCTGAAAAGAAACAAAAATATGTTTCAGACCTCTTAGGTCTGACATTGATGAATAAAAAACACAAACTAAATTACAAAATATTACCCCTCTTTAAGCCCATACCTCACACAGGATTTCTGGCACAGTCTCTGAGTCTTCAGCATAACCTACGAAAGAGAAAGAAAAGTATATCTTGTGTTTTCTCATAGAAAATGTGTGATTTGTTAGATGTCAGACTCTTTTGCTTTAGATTTTGTTACCAAGCTTATTTATCTTAATTGATTTTTTAAGAAATATGAAGACAAAGAAAATGTTTTGCTTCTTTTCTTTATATCTGCTTTGCAGGAGCTCCGCCAGTACCTGTCCAACCTGGCAGACCAGTGCAACAGTGAAAATAATGCTGTAGATATGCCTCTTGTCATCATTTTGGATAATTTGCACCACGTTAGCTCCCTAGGAGAGATCTTTAATGGACTTCTAAACTGCAAGTACCACAAATGGTAAAGAAATAGTATCAGTACACATTGCCAATGCTAATCCTGTGCTCAGAGCACTGCTCCTGCAAAATTCAATCGCACAAAACTAAAGCCTGCATTAATTTAGTAATGTGGAGGAAGATGACCAGTGGTATTGTGGACAGTGCTTCAGAGGGATCTTTTTCCTTCATAAAATTATCCATTTTTCTGAAATAAGTAATTTAAAAGTAGCTGTATTTGCTTCATGATATAGATCATTTGTAGTAAAACCCCATTTGTAGTGAAAGGTCCCATTTTGGGACTTCTGGTTTACTTCCAGAATTTGATCACAGAATCTCAGTAAAGAATTTGGTGATAAGTAACTACAAAACCTTCTTTGACAAAAGAGTTTTGAATAGCGTTTTTTAATGTTTAGGTTTGACTTAAAACTTGTTTTTCAGAGTTCACAAGTTTGATTTGCTTGATTTTTTTCTCCCAATAGTCCATATATTATTGGCACAATGAACCAAGCCACCTCCTCCACACCTAATCTTCAACTTCACCATAATTTCAGGTACTGTTTATTAGTGTTTCTCATTTATGTTTGTGGGCTGGCAAAGGAGTAATGGCTACTGAGTAAATTAAAATTGTTCTTATCAGCTGAAATAGCGAAGTGAGAGAAAAATGCCATTTGCTCCTGGTTGCTGCCCTGACATTTTCAGCTTGGTTAAGGTGCTGTCATTAAAGGAACTGGGTTCACAAAACTTTTATTTTTTTAGAGGATTGTTAAGATATTTGATTTTCTACCAGATTTTCAGTAAGACAATATTTAGGTAAAGCAGATTAATGAGAAATGAGCTGAAACAATGCACAATAAAAAACGGCTCATGTAGTGAAATATTCCAAAGTAACTTCTGCTGAAAAACATGTATGACTGGAATAGCCCATTTTGATCCTGATAATCTGGAAATAAGAAGAGGAATGTAATCAGGAATAGTTAGACTCAGTAGCATGGAAGAGAAATAATGTCCATTTCTGCTGTTGTGCCATAGATGGGTGCTATGTGCAAACCACACTGAGCCAGTCAAAGGCTTTCTCGGCCGTTTCCTGAGAAGAAAACTGATTGAAACAGAGATCAGTGGCAGGATGAGGAATGCAGAGCTGGTCAAGATTATTGATTGGATTCCCAAGGTCTGGCAACATCTGAACAAGTTCTTGGAGGCTCACAGCTCCTCTGATGTTACTATTGGTAAGTACTCTGCCCAGGCATATGTGAATATATGTATTTTATTTCCTTGTATATCAGGCATATCTTTGTATACTTCCTTGTGCTGTGTCACATAAAAAAGGCTTTCTTTAAAACCCTACCTTTAGATGTCATCACCCTAACTGCGCTTGTGATTTGAGTGTAACATCTGAATTTCCCTCTCCAGGTCCACGGCTCTTCCTTTCCTGTCCAATAGATGTAGATGGTTCTAGAGTTTGGTTCACTGACTTGTGGAACTACTCCATCATTCCGTATCTTCTGGAGGCAGTAAGAGAAGGGCTGCAGGTGAGCAGGCAAAGGGAAAAATCATAGGTGTAGAATGGCATCTGTTCAAAAGGCAACAAAACTCAGTAGTAGCAACATTTTCTGTGGATACAACCTCACACATTGAATATCTGCATATCTATGAAAATGCAACCAGAGTTGTCAATAATTTCAGGCAGAATTAGTCTCTTCAAGCACTTTTGAAGTAGAGAGTGGAAGAAGTGGTTAGATGCCAAACTGGTGATGTTTGCAGTGGGGGGAGTTAGACGTACAAATACCTTTCAATACTGAGTTCCAGAAGCACACCTTAAAATTATCCTGTGCATCAGAAAAATGTGCTTGTCATCATTAACTGTGTTACACAGGATTTTCCTTTGGAAATCAAATCTTTCAGCATAGGAACAAAGCTTTGCATGGAGACAATGTATACATGAGTGACAGGAGCAGTATCAGTGACATTTTGATTACTTCTCTGGTTTTAAGATGATTTTTTTAGTAGATTACTTTATAATTCTTTCAGAGGATGACATGAAATCATCATTGATTGTCTATGTTTAGTAATTGATTCATAATCTGGAAATTTGGAATAGTTTTTGGTGTCTGTATGACTGTGAAGCTTGTTGGAATCAGGAGGAGGGTTCAGCAGAGAATTGCTGTGGACTTGCCATTTAGGTAGGGGGGAAAAAGGAGGTTTTTTAATAAGCAGCTCTTTGTTCACAAAATAAGCCCAGCAGCACCTACTTTAAAATACGATTTAGAACTAATCTTTTACTAATGGCTTCTTAAAAAATTGTGAAATACATGAATTCTCCAAGATTTGGGTACAATTTGGGCAGCTGCCATTTGAAATTTGTCACTAGTTGGGGACCTCATTCTCTTTGGGACAATTTGGGACTCACAGACTTAAGGAAGACAATAGGTCCTGGAGTACACTCAGGAACTTTGCTAGAAATGGAACAGGAGAACTGTTTTACATTAAACTTGTTTTAAAGGAAGGTAATAGGAGCTAGGAATCTTTCCAACCTAAAACAAGAAAAAGGAGAGCAGGTGATTTTGCTTGCTCTTGAAATGGAGTAAACTGATACTCACAATAATGCATGGGCTCCTTGTACTGGGGTTTGGAGCTCTCATATCATTGATCAGTATGTGTGGAAAGCATTGAAAAATTAGTAAAGGAAGTGGAGAGAGAGTAACTGATAAAACCATCCTTTTGCTTCCTCTTTCTGCCCAGTATCTCCATCTTTCCTTAGGGTATTTGAGTGGCTTGTGTTCCAGGTGTAAGGACTTCAGTTTCTCAATGTGCTTTAGATTCTTTATCCCCTTCAGCCCCATTTCCCCAAATTGCACTAATTCATCCCTACTTAAATAATTTTCTTTTATTTGGTTGATGGATAAGAAGATGCACTTTAGTACTTGAAGTGTAGCCAGAGTGGTGCTAATGAACAAGTTAATGCTAGAAAGCTGGGTTTCATCTGGGGCTGTTTTCTGTTCCTCATGCCCACAAAGACTCCTCTGAGAGCACATCTTCTTTCCTGAAATTGCCTTACAGAAAGGAAAGGAAAGGTGGACTCCTAATTTTGTTCTGATCTCTGTGGATCTGCTCTCAGCTATTTTTATATTTCTGTTTCTCATTTAGAGAATTATTTTGGGTCAAATACAAACAAACCCAAACCAAATTAATCCTTACAATAATTGCTCCCATGGGAGCTGACTTGTTTTGTTCTTCAAAACAAGGATGTGAAAATTAGAAGGTTGTATAAAACCTGAGTTCTTCCTGCTTGGTCTATCAGTAGAGAATGCAGCACCAACAAGAAGAGGACCCAGAGTCCCTGAGGCTTCCTGCCACTGTCAGTCATACTCCAGTGACTTTTCTTTCATGCTTTGTGGAGCAACCTGTTCCATCCTTGTCCCATGACTTGCTCCCTGGTAAACGTGCTAGTGGGAGGGGTGGACAGATGTGGTTGCCATGGAAGAGGGTTGGTGAGTAATTTAGTCTCTCCTTAGCTCAGATCCACTCAGAGTTTTGCAGGAGAAAAAATGTGAAAATACAAAATCTTCGCTACTTACCAAGTGACGTGTATCATTGTAAATTTGAGAACAAGGTTAAAATAGGAAATCTGGTTTGCCCCATCTTGAAACTGGGAAGATAAGGTAGCAGGGCTGAAGGATGAAGGGTCTGGGCTGTGGAGGAGGCTCAGTTTCAGATTGCCTAGCACCATCTGCTGGCACCTCTGCTCCCTCCTGCTTCACAGCACACCATGGCTTGGTATTCACAGCACTTTAATACTTTGTGCGTGCAAAATCTAAACCCACAAAAAACATACCATGGAGAAATATTATTGAGGAAAGTGAGATAATCCTAGATCCATCAGAGAACTGGTGAATTTCTTTGCTAGACCCTTGTGCAGGTGGATAAAGGTAGGGGACAGTGACAGAATGTCAGAGACAAGCACCAGTTGCTGAAGGATGTTGATGGTGATGTTTATAAAATGAAAATAAATGTTTTAAAGCCACTTGTATTTATGCTTTTGGAAGTCATGAGGCATTTAAATGAATATGTTGTCTAGCTAAGACAAATAGAATAGAACAGGGAGAATACATTGGGATTCAGTAGTGCAGTCTGTTCCGTCCAGAAAAACGTTTTTGAAGCTGAGCTGTCCTGCTTAGGAACCTGAGCATGGACAAGTACTGCTGGTGCTTTTTCTTGGTTGAATGTGAAAAAAATCTGACTTGAAAACTTTATGCCTTGACATCATCATTCTTGCCTGATGACAGATCTCACATTGCCTCCTCCACTTCCCATGGATGGCAGTTTGTAAGGCAGCTGCCAGTGCAATCCAGATGTCAGCACTGATGGCATCTTTTGTGTGCTGACGTTGTTTAAGTTGACTTGATTAGGTGATGTTATTTTCAGGCCTTTCTTCCTTCAGCTGGTGCCAAGAGAAGGGCACTGCAGTCTCAGAGGTCAGCTCCTTTGAAATCAGTGCCATGACAAAGGGCTTTGTGTGTGTTTAGGGTAAGGAACCTCTCAGTTCAGCCCTGCTTGCAAAGTGTTTCCTGCAGCACAAGAACCATGGCACATTCATTTTGGTTAGGTAGGCAGTGGCTGAGATGGTCGGAATGTTTGACATGGTTCTATGCTCTTTCAGTTGTATGGGAGGAGAGCGCCCTGGGAGGATCCTGCCAAGTGGGTCATGGACACCTACCCCTGGGCAGGCAGCCCCCAGCACCACGAGTGGCCTCCTCTGCTCCAGCTGCGGCCCGAGGATGTGGGCTTTGATGGCTACTCTGTGTCCCGGGAAGGCTCCACCAGCAAACAAGTTCCAGTGAGTGATGCTGAAGGAGATCCTCTGGTAAGCTCTCATTTCTGAGCAGCAGAACCATTTCATTTGCCTTGTTTCTAGGGATTGGAAACAGGAACTGGTCTGTGGCTATAGACTAATCCCTTCAGTCGTCTGATTTTTTCCTTTACTGGAAAAGCTGTGTTTTACCAGTAACTTGGATGCTGCTATGATTTACAGTCAATACCTCTGTTCTGAGTCTCAGTGTTATTGCCCCTGCTTGTTTCTCCCTTTCCTTCCTGGCCACTGGCAAAGTGAACTCCACTGTAGCTGTCATGTGGAGTTAATGTTATTCCTACCTCAAAATACAATAATCATGAACTTCCTTGGCTCTGCAGATGAACATGCTAATGAGACTGCAGGAGGCTGCCAACTACTCCAGTCCCCAGAGTTATGACAGCGACTCCAACAGCAACAGCCATCACGATGACATCCTGGATTCCTCTCTGGAGTCAACGTTGTGATCTCCCTCAGACAGGAGCTGTTTCCACTTGGCAGGAGCCTTGATCACAGACTGATGAAAAGAACACTTTCCTGGGCTGGGATCTCAGTATTAAGAGCTGCAAGAGCAAGACACTTGTAGCAATCTTGAACCTGGGTGCAGGCAACCCAAGTGACCTTTTTATTGTTTTTCTTTTGACAATGATGAGAACTGCAATCCTGAAGATGTTAAAAATAATCATCATTACTAAGTTGAAGGGACTGGGGTGGGGGGGCAGTTTCACAGCTGTGAAGAAAGCAGCTTTGTGCCATGTACCCTCTGGAAGGAGAGGGGTGAGGGAATATTTGTCTATGCTGCTTCTGACCAAACACATTTACGTGAGGGCTGGACTTTTACCAATCAGCTTTGTGGGTTAAACTCAGCTTCATATAGTTCTGGTGCTATAACAATATTGCTTGCCTCTGTAATAATACTCAATGAAGGCAAAGCTGCAAAACAGGGAAGTTTGAATAAATATTAAAAAAAGAGAAAAGGAAAAAAATAAACTAAAACAAAAAGTGCTGCTGTCCTTGCCAGTCTGAGACCTTGGCTTTCTTTCATTGTGTGTTTATAAAGATTATATATATTAATAGGAATATATAAAAATATGTATACAGTCTGAACAAATCAGTTTTTTTTCAAACACTGTGTAGCAATCAATCCTGCTACAAACGAAAGATCAGGTAGCTTTCTGCTAGTCAGGGCCCGGTTCTCTTCCTGCTTTCATCCACACCACCAGGTGGGCTGACTTCTGTGGTGTTTACACCCCACTAATCCACCCTTTCAGAGGAGAGGGGACTTCCCTCCTTCACAGAAGTCAATGGCAGGGCTGTGCCCCATGGAGTCCTACAGCTCCAGAGGACCCTTGGCAGTGCACAGGCATGGTGAGCTACACCCCTGCAAAGGGATGAGTTAGACTTTCAGTTTTTAATTCTTGCCATGAAATGTGACAGCTGTTTTTAGAAAATGTCGGGTTTTGTTCAGAGGTTTCATTCCAATCAGCACAACCATAAGGGGGTTAATTAAAATTCAGCTCTATGGCAGTTCCAGTGCTACTCTGGTGACAGTACTTACTTCCATGACTTTTCTTTTTAATTGCAAAGTGAAAAAAAAAATTAAAAATAGCATTTCAGCAGTATTCAGGTCTGGGAAAAAAAAAGATAAGGTACTGAGTACTGTGTCTTTTGAGTGTAGCTGTGCCATGCTTTTGAGTTGTGGCAGAGCTGTGAACCTGGTTTGGTTTCTCCTCTTCTGTGAACGCACACACCTACATGATCAGTGTTAAGGCTTGTACTTGTGTTGGGGAAAAAGAAAACACCTCCCAAAGAGTTGCACTTTCCTGGTGACACCATTACCCCCAGCACATCAGCTGTACCTCAGCCAACACCTCACTCCTCAGGAGGGATTCGTACGAGCCTTTCCAGCTCTCCTCTGGTGCTGACTTTTAAAAGTGATGCCTTATTTTGTACTAATTGTGTTTGATTAAATTAGTGCTGTATATTATGGAATTTTATTTAAAGAAACAGGGCTAAAGTCATCTCTTGAAATATCATAAGTTGCTGTGAATATTGTTTGTATGAGATACTAGAATTTGTTTAAATGTGATAAAAAAGGAAGGAAATGAGATAACGTTTCAGGTTCATATCAATCCCCAGCTAATAAATCGCTGGAGAGCTGTTTCATCCATGCAGGAGGGACAAAAGAAGCTTTTCAACTCTGATAAATTACAGGAATATGCTGGTTTTTCAATGTACAGGAAGAAACCTTATTGCAAACACTTTTTCAAGAGCTTGTGGGTTTAAAGGAACATAACAGACAAGTTGGTGCTTCTGTGGCTCAGCTTGAGAGGATGGTTTTATTGTACCTCATGACTTTCTGTAATATAACTGTACTTTGTCTTACTAAGCTGGTCTTGAATCTGCTCCTGTTACAACTTTTAAGTGCTGATGACTTTTTTTTTTTTTTTAAGGAAAAATTTAAATATTTTAATGATGGGAGGAAGAGCTTGGTGTTGTTACTGTTTTAACCTTATGAACTCTGATTTCATTATTTCACTGAATGGAATAACAAAGGCTACTCAGCCAATTTGCCTAATCCAGTTCTTGGTACTGTAAAAAATGGGTTAGACCTGTATGGAATCAAATCCATAGCATGCTGATGAGGAGTTTGAGAGAAGTTAATTTTTCCAGTAGTCTTGACAATTCTGCTTCCCAGCACTGACTTTACCTGCTACTACTGTGAATTTTGGTACCTAATCCCCCAGCTGAATCCGTGCAGACAGAGCATGTGCCTGTAAAAAAAAAATCCAGTTGCAGGGCTAGGGCTTTAAATGGACTTGATATCCTAGAAAATGTCTCAGTTGACCTTTAACTAAGTGCTAAAAGACATGTTTAAAGTAGTGTTTTATTTGTGGGGAATGGGGTATTTTTTTCCTCATGTTTAATCCTGTGCTTAAGCCCAGGAAGACATTTCTATTATCTCTTCTTTTTTATTGACACTAGCTTGGTTTAAAGTGAGAGAGGCAATTTTGAATAGGCTAGTCATTCTGAGCATCACAATATTCCATGTCTTTTCTGAAACTTGGGGAAGCAGGGTTACCTGTTGTGCACACGTCTTAGTTTTTATCAAGATTTTTCATAGATTAAGTCTTTCTTTAGGTGACTTTTCTCATTTAAGGCTCTTTCAAAAACACTTTTTTTTTCTTTTTTTTTTTCTTTCCTTTTTTCTCCTCCTTACAAAGTTGGCTTGTTTAAAAAAAAATCAACAAGAAATGCAATATTCTATGCAACATTCGTGTTGAGTTATAAATTGAGAGAATGAACCATTTTCTTTCCTTCAGAACTGCCAAGAATGATACAGGCCATAAATGAGATGTGGGTTTTTTTGGGGGAAGGGGAGGGGGGGGGTTGGTTAGCCTTTTTGTACATTTTGAAAGAAGCAAACTTGATATTTCATTGTTGATGCTTAACTTCAATATTATGTGTATGAAATCTTGTCTAAATGTGGCAATTTTCTTTCAAGAAAAAAATAATATACAAAGCAAAAAAATCTTTGTTGATATTAAATGGAAGGTTGCTGTTTTGATCTAGTCATTTCCAGTGGAACAGTTTATGAAATATGTTCTATAAGATGTACATTTTTTCATTGTAACATAGAAATGTAAATATTTGATTAAAAGTGCTGCATTTTGATGAATTTTTTCTAGCCATTTTTAAAGAGAAAACTAGGAATTGAGTATTTTGTGTACGTTTATGATGTTTTCCATTTGCTCCTCTCCCTATTTAATTTTCAGTTCTCATTTAGGATTGGAATTTGTGAATGGTCTGTTTGAGATCATGCCTCCCCTTTCTCACTCTGCCCATTTCTACCCCTTCCCCACCCCGTGTCATGGAGAATAAAGCTGATGATTGTACCAGTCTTAAATTATTCATGATTCAATAAAATTGATGCCTATTTATTCAGATTTGTGGCTTCCCAGAACTTTTTATCCCTTCCTAATCACCATTTTATAATTTTTCATTTGCAGATCATGGGGTTCGCTCTTTTGGTTTTGCTGGCTTTATTAAGTACCCGTGAGGAGGTGCCAACAGCCCTCACCTGTCCATCCAGTCTGGCCTGGAATGTTTCCAGAGGCGTCTCCCACCCCTCTGGACAACCTTCACATTCCACACACTATTCCAATTTTCTCTTCACCCATTTGATAGAGACATTATGGTTATACAGTAATAAATACACTATCAGTAAAAACATGCAGGAAACTATTATCCTTCATGACAAATAAATACTCTGACTAAAAAAAGAAAAGTAAAAGTTCTCTATTCAAAAAGAATAAACACAAACGCCTCTGCACTTAAAATCTAGGGGGTTTGGGGTTTTTTCCTGGAGACTTACTTCTTGTTTCTTTTTTGACAGTTCCTTGTCCACTTACCACCTGTTTGAATGATTAATGTTGGTAGGACATATTCACGTGTGAAAAATTTCTAAGAAAATAGAGAAGCTCTGCTGAAAACTGATGATTGGCATTCAAGTTTGTTCAATCCAAAAATACTCTTAATGACACAGAGCTAAATGGTAAATGGTAGCTCAGAGCTGGTCTGTAATGTGGGCATTGTCTGTCCTCCACAGCAGGTTTCCAGAGGCAGAATTGCTTTGGACGTGCTCAAGCACACTCTTCTGTGTTCTGTAAACTTCCTTTGATTCACAGAATGGCATGTCCTAGACTTGCTCGTGGAAAATGCTTCAGCCATGATCTTGAACAGTTTTGAATCCATACTGGACTGCTAAAATGCTTATTGTCTCTCAGGAATTCTTCCTTTCCTTTCCTTTTTTGGCTGCCCTATCCCTTTCCCACATTATTCTTTTCTCTGCTCTATGCACACTGTCTTGACTTGAATTATCTACACTTATCTTGACTTTTTCTTTCCTTTACCTCCTCTCTTTAACCTTTATTTTCCTACTTTTTTTTGTTTCCAACATCCTATTTCATTTTATATCCTTCCTGGATCCATCTCATCATTTCTCAGTGCCATAAGATTAGTGCTGACTTCCTTTCTGCAGTGGAAATGGGAAATTCTCTGGAGTCATTCTATAAATTCAGTCTGCAGCATGTGACATGTATTTATACCTTTCTCACTCCTCTTCCCTTTTCCACTGGTACTTTGGAGTAGTCACCTCAAGAACCAGAGAGGAAATTCCTCCTGATAACCCTGCAGGTTCCCATCCTCCATTCTGCACTTCCTGTCCATTTCACCACTTAACTGATGTCCTGGATTCTGACATTGATCTCTGTGGTAGCCAAGGGGTATCTGTGGTTTCTGATGTGGGTGTTTAATCTGGGCTTTTGGGGGTTAGAGCAGAGCACAGCAGTTTCCATCTTTGCCCCGGCAGTGGGGCTGACTGTAGGCAAATCCTTCCCCATCATCATCTTGGATGGCTTAGCCACACACAGAAATCCATGTTCCTCTCTCCTTCCTCGATCATAGGATGGTTTGGGCTGGAAAGGACCTTTAGAGTTCATCTAATGATGACCATCCAAATCCCTGCAATGAGCTGGGACATTTTCTGTAAGAGCAGGTTGCTCAGTCACAGGTATTTCTGATTTGCTCAGAGGCTCGAGAGACGTTACAGGGAGTGGAGACCATGGTCTGGCTACATTTGGGTAATTTCTCCTCCAGGAAGTTCAGCCATGTGGGGCTAGCCAATTAGGAAGTCTGAAGGACCTTACATGAAATGGGATCCACAGGCAGACGGGAAGAGGTCGTGCTTCCACTGAGAGCCTGACTGAAAGCCCTTTGTAGAGCACGGGTCTGGTGATCTGCAAGTCAGGGAGCCTGAGTATGGCCAGGACTGTGCTGTGCTGCTCTGCCCTGTGCCATGAGGACAGGCTGGCCTCCAGACGTGGGTTGTGAGGCACAGAGCCCTTGTACACAGGACCAGCTCAGGCCACTCTAACGAGAGACATGCAGCTCCTGCTGGGCGTGGGGCTGAGCCATCTGTGTGTCCTTGGCTTTGTCTAACCATGCAGCAAGAAGGTCTCGTGGGTCTATCCTTTCTGTTTGACAGCAGAAAGGGTTAACAGAGTTCTTTTGCTGTGAGAAAACGCCCTCCTGTAATACCTTGAATGCCCACACCTTTGGGTGGGGTGTGGCCAGGATGCTGTGTGTGGATGCTGCTCCGCTGCGGGTTCTCAGCCTCTAAGGGACCGAAGATTGTCTCTGCTGTTCCCTTCTTGCGGCGTTCTCTCTAACAAACAGCATTTGATGCCTCCCTCACCAGGCCTGAGTGCCTTTTATCGGGATTGTGATGAACCAGTGCCGCTCCTCCTCCCGGCCAGCTGATGACAAGGGCGGGGGGAAGATCCCCCCTCGAGCCCGTGAATCCCAGCCACCAGCTGCTGGCGCATCATAAAACACAGAGCAGCACACGGGCCCCAGGGTAACTTTATCTGACAGTTGTGAAAAGTGCCTATTTCATGATTGGCTTTTAGCAAGTATTAAAATGAATATTGTATGTGTTATGTTAGAAAGTTATGCTGTATTAATTTTCTTAAGTATTAAATTAACTATTAAATATAGTTTTAGGTTATAACATAATGTTTCTGTAAGAGCAGAAAACTACCAAATTACAAATCAAACAATAAACCTACTAATAAAACAAAAAGCACACTGCAACAAACCAGCACCACCCAGTGCAAAAGAGGAGTTAGGACACAAAGCCCAAGCCCAGTGGGGAAGGAACAAGCTCATGAGCTCAGATCTGTGTGAGCCACTAAACCTCATCCACAGCAGGATTTCTGACAATGTTATTGCACAATTTTCAGCTTCACACTTTCTGCCCGACCACCAACCTCCAGTCCCAAATCAGTCCTGACTGTTAAACAATCTATTTCTGCACAGGAGTGCCCAAGTCATCCAAGAGGATCCTGGAAAGCTCTGGCAAATGCTTCCTGCTGCAGATGCTGGACATGCTGACTCAGAACAGCCCATTGCTGGCTGGATTTAGTGCTCACTGAACCTACCTGATAATATTTACTTTACTCCATAACCATCAGTGGTGGCCTTGGATATAATGATAACAACATTGTGAAGTTTCAGATCCTGCTAAGAACACTCAGGACAGCTGATAGGACAAAACCCCTGGATTTCAGAAGCACTGAATCTTCTGCTCCTGAAACTTCCATATGCTCAGAGCCCAGCTGTGAGGATCTGTGGGAAGCATCCATGGAGAGCACAAGCAGCTTATAAGGGCTGGGAGATACTCAGGAACAGTCCAACCCCTACAAAGGGAGAGGGAGAAAACAGAGCACAAGACTACCCTGGCTTAACAGGGAGCTTTGGAATGTGATTAAACACCAAAAAAAAAAAAAAAAAAAAGATAAATACTGACCACGGGAAGATGGCCAAATACCATCAAGGAGTACAAGAACCTTGGTGGGTTACACAAAGTTGTATTTAACAAGGCTAAGCTTGGCTAAACCTAGGATGGGTATGAGAACCTGTCCTGTGAAGAAAGACTGAAGCAGTTGAGTCTCCTCCTGAAGAAAACTTGTTGAGGACCTCATGGCAGGACTTCAGTACCTAAAGGGCAGCCACAAAGGGGATGGATGCTCTTATTGGATTTTACCAATTACTGACTGGACTGCCTCGGTCTGTCTGGCCCCAGCTGCTGAGCCAATCGTGGCACCTGTGGTCTTTTCACCCCAGAGACGCTCTGGCTCGCTATGAGCACATGGGGACAAATCCAGGCACGTCCCGAGCCCCAGCGCTTATGGCTGGAGCTTGCTGTTGAAGAGGGTCACTCCTCAGGCCTCCCTGAGCTGGAGGAACCCTTTAAGGCGATGGTGAAGGAAGGAGTGGGTCCTGATGGAAAGTTTTTAATCCAGAGTTTTTATTTCGGGCCGCGTGGCCTCTGAATCCTGCGACAACTCCAACAGAACTCTGACCGCGTGGTGTGCTTGTCCTTTTACCTGGGCAGAGGGGCAGGGGAGGGGACCCAGGGAGCACCAGCCAGGCACAGGGGGAGGGGGTCTCAGGTGAGAGGGACACCTGGGTGGGCCAATGGGCCCCCAGGGGGTGGAGAGCATCCTTTGAACCTGCCAATCGCTTGACGATCCCCTTGGCAAGGGTGGGAAAAGGAGAGGTGATTGACACACCACCTGGGGAAGGAAACTTCAGGGGAAGAACTGGGGAAACTGAGGCACACCATGACAACACACCGCAACATGCTCTCTTTTCACAAGGAGCCACATGGAAGAGACAAGGAACAATGGGTACAAGTTGCACCAGGAGAGGTTTTATCTCACTATCACAATGATATTTTTTACAGAAAGAGCAATCATTCTGTGGAACAATCTCCTAAAGAATATGGTAGAGTCCCCATTGATGGAGGTTTTCCCAAATATGGTTGATCAGGGTAATAGTCCTCACCTAGAATTTTTATAACCATTTTATTACTATTAAACTTTTAAAAATTCTAAAAACTAGTGATTGGCATTTTTCACAATGGTGAAAGTTCCCCTCTTCATCCCCGGGACCAGGAACAAGGGGCAGACAGAAACTTTTATGTGGGGGCAGGTCTCGGGGGAGGGTACAATCTTTAACAAATCAGGAGAATTGGGAGTAAAAAAACCAGGCGGGAACCACAGTGTACAAACCAATAAAAATTCCAAGGGAGGAGAACAGTTTCAGTAAACTGATAAAGTTTGGGGAAATAGAAAAACTAGCAACTAATGTCCTCACCTAGATTCCCTTTCCCACAAAAGGCTGGACCAGAGGATCTTTCCAGATGTCTTCCAACCTGGAAGACATGTGCTGTTTTATGATTTTATGAAGTATTTTAGCACTTTGCTAGTCACATGGGAGGGAAAATTAGGTAAAGCAGCACACCTGGCACTTGTGCATGTCGAGTAAAGGCACCTCCTGTGAGGCCCCACTCTGCTGGGCTTCCCAGGCCTTTAATCCCTGTCATGTAGGTTGGGAAAGTGGTGCTGGTGTGGTTTTGGAGCTTATTTACTTGTATCAAGTCAACCTTGGTTCAAAAACACAAGAGCCCTGTAGATGTCCAATTTGGTCACTTGATAAGGGCCAGCAGAAGCGATGAACTTTGCCATCCTTGTTGAGCCATGTGCTTCTCAGACACAGCAGTGTGGCAGTTCCAGCTGCTAGAAAAGCAAATCCAGGGAACAGATTCACTTCTGCTCTTCAGTCTGATAACTTCTGCTCCCAGCACTGGCCCATGGCTGGGCTGGGGAGGGAGCACAGCCAGCAGTGAGACTAGACTGCCTTGTTGCTCCTCACAATAACAGAGCCCACAGCTTGTCAAACCCCACCTTGAACTTCCCAGCAAAGGGTTTTAAATGCCATCACTGTTTTCCGGGGCTGAACTTGGGTCTCTTCAAACCAAGCTAGTTTCCTGTAGGATGGGGGTTTAGGACTGGTTGGGGTTAATATCCTGTCACCCTCAGTCTTTGCTGGTTGCTTCTGGAAACGATGGTCTTGCATCATGTGCTCTACTTAACCTCTTTAAGATTATTGTAATGTTCAAACTTTCCTGGATGACAGATATTCTTCAAAAGAGGTTTTTTTGTTTTGTTGTGATTTGGTTTTTTTATTTATTTTTATTTTTCACTCAACCTGCTCCCAGTAAAGGGCTGTGCAGAAGCCTTGTCTGCCTGGCTGTGGCTGGATGAAAACACTCCCAGCTTCCCCATTTGTGCAGGACACTGCTTGAGAAGCCATTGGACCAGGGAATAGGACCAGAGGGACACAGTCCAGGTCTGTCACCAGCAGCTCTGCAGGGAGCAACAGCAGACTCCCCAGGAAATTTATTTATTTCCTTTTCTCGCCCTGTCCAAAAGCCACTCTCCCATGCTGGCAGGCACAGATGTAGAAGCAGCTGGTTTCTAAAGGGATAAAATAGTTGAGAATTTGCTGCCCTGAGCTCATGATCATCAAAGTCCCCCTCTCTGCCTTATCCATTCCCCAGTCTGGGGGATGTCCCTCCTGTCTCTGAGAAGGAAGAAAATACACACAAGACCTCTGGGCTGCTGGGTCACTAAAAAGAAGTCTTTGATATCCTAAAGCAGAGGTTGTTATGGGGGTGTATTACACATGGGATTACCAGAGTTTCCAAAACTCTGGATGCTACTAGTCATTATGGAAACAATTCCATCTCTATGAAGGCAGGAAAGCTTTTTATCACCTTCTTTCCTTTCCCAAAGCATACAGATGGCTGCATTAAAAATAGAGAGAGAGAAGGAGAGAGTGCTGAGCTCGTTTCAGGGAATAGAGGCAGGTTGCCTCCAACATTCTGGCTGTTAACAGCAGATTATGGAACATTTTGCTCTCAGAAATACACCCAAGCTGAGCTCCCAACACCATGCACACCACGACAACCCAGCTGCCACTAGATCCTCCTAATCTGACTAGTATCTCTCTACATTTGAGGAACGAGAATAAGTTTATGTCTTTGACATATGCCTTTGTTGGAGAAAGTGGTCCCCTTCCTGCAGCCACAGATGCAGTCTGACAGCTGTTGATAAATAGAAACAAGCCCTTTAATTTCATATTAAGGTATCCCTGAATCTCAAATGTTTGTGCTTAGTAGTCACACAATGGTTTTTTTGGCTATTAAAAATAAATACTCTGAAAGGAGAAAAGAATAAATTGTAGGAGTTATTATTTTCGCTGCTTCTAATGAAGGCATGGGACTATTTTTGGGCTAAGAACAACTTACTGTTCAGATAAACATCAGTCTCAGAGGCTGGGAGATTTTAAAGGAGCAAGCTGTCAGCTATAGCTCAAGAGTAGTTACATCTTTGTTATAAGACAATATATAACTTTCTAACTAATAGATAGTTGCTACAGGGTTTATTTTGCTTTTCTAAGATACTACTTTTAATTAATTTTGCTGCACTGAGGATACTTTTACCTAATGGGCTTCTGTCTCACATATACACATATGCTTTTGTTACAACCTCTAAATTCCTAACATATTTCATATTATTACATTACTACACTATAAACTTTTCATCATCTTACTTAAACAGTTTCTTACTTACTTAAGGTATATTCTTACTTTCAACTATAGAAATGTAAGTTTATGATTTTTCTACTTAATATCTGTGTATTGTACTTTTATATCAATCTAAGCTTCTCCTAAGGCTGCAAATTAAACTCTTCTGTGTCTGTGGAAGTTTCTATTTTTCTGATTCCTACAGGATTAATAAATGTTACATTTTGGGTAAGGATTTTTCCCTGTTAAATGGCAATTCCATTATATTTGTCCTTTAGTATGGTTATTTGCCTAGCAGTAATAGCCCTCATGCTGAAAGAAGCAGTCTTAAAAAGTTATTTTTGATAGCATTTCTAGAGCAGAGAAAATGCAAAGAGCAGAGGGTATGAGAAGATCAGCAGTTTCTGTTGAGCAATGAATCAGGATACCTGTTCTTATTTTGGACTAGTTCCTGTCTAGAGTGTTGTAGTGTTCTCTGGTGTAGCCACTGGATTTTGAAACAAACTGTGTTTTGAATTAGTTTTGTCATTTAGAAATTACTTAACTATAGCCTTATGCTTACTGGATGTGCTGGTTTTGGCTGGGGCAGGGTAAGTTTTCTTTCAGTGGCTGGTAGGGAGCTGTACTTTGGATTTGTGCTGAATGCACAATAATACAAACATTAATAATAACGTTGATAACACAGAGATGTTTTTGTTATTGCTGAGCAGGACTTGCACAGAGCCAAGGCCTCCTCTGCTTTCTGTTCTGCCTCACTGGTGAGGGAGTTGTGGGTGCCTGGGAGGGTGGGAGGAGACACAGCCCAGGACAGGTGACCCCAGCTGACCAAAGGGTATTCCAGACCACATGGCATCAGGCTCAGGATATAAAGCGGGGGGAGGAAGAGGGGGGGATGTTTGGAGTGATGGTTTTTGTCTTCCTAAGTAACCATTCTGTGTGACAGGACCCTGCTCTCCTGGGAAGGCTGAACGCCTGCCTGCCTGTGGGAAGCAGTGGATGAATTCCTTATTTAGCTTTTATTTTGTGCATGGCTTTTACAAAACAACAACACAACAAACCCAAACCCAATATGCCCTTTTGCTGTTTCACTGTATTTTGTGGGATAAAGACTGTCTGTGTGTTTTCCATCTCTTTTTTCATTCCACCTGTATCAGGTGTATGTTATCAATTGTTAATGGCTTCAAGGTGTCAGAGAGGTAGAAGATGAGAAATGTGACAATGTGTCCCAGTTCAGGTGTGTCCAACTTTCCAGTTGGAAAGAGGTTAAAGACCTGGAACAGCCTTTCTAGCAGGGGGTAGTCATGTCCTGTGCCTGGCAGTGTTCAGGAGGCTTTTGGACAATGCTCTTTAATAACACTTTTAATTTTTGGCCAGCCTTGAAGCTGGATTAGATGATTTTTGTAGGTCCGTTCCCTAGGTGAAGATCTGGTTCCAGAACAGGAGGATGAAATGGAGGAACTCCAAAGAAAGAGAGCTCCTCTCTCTCTGAAGAGAGAATCACTCTCTTCTTCCTTTCACACCTTCCCTTGTGACTGTGGCAGTGAAGTGGAAAGGGAAACAGCTCTCCCCTCACAGAGGGCGATCTGGATCCAGGGGGCATCTGCTGCATTTGTTTCTTTTATTTTGGTGTATTATAAATGGTGGGCACTAAAGATCATGGAGCAGAAAATAATTGCAATTTTGTAATGAAATCTCTGTTTCAGAAAAACTCTGCTACCACTGGTATGCAAGGCAAAACCCACTGATATTTCTGTAATGTATAGCAGAAATGTAAAAACAAAAAGCACGTGGGTGGTTATGGATATCCCTGGTCTTGTAGTAATGATCCTTGGCTGGAGTTGAGGCTGAAGAGTTAAGTTTTTCTCTTTCATTCTGTTTCTCTACCCTGGAAGAATTAATTATTTAATTACTTGGATACTACCGTCTATAAACTGTAGTATCCTAGTGATGTGTGAAGCTCCCTAGCTAAAAGGCGGGTAGATATTCTTGTAAAGTCACTTCATTAGAAACTGATAAATTCTTATTGAATCACTAATAAGGTAGATTCCTCTCCCAGACATAAACTACAACAACCTGTTATCTAGAACCAAGTACTACCAAATTATCAAATTTGGAAATCTACTTTTTTTTTTTTATTTGACAATCATCCACTTTAATATATATACATATTTAGAGTCTGTACATGGTAAAATACAAAATAAAAGTGTTTCTTTATAAGTTACACAATTACACAGCTGCATTCACCTGTAGTTTAGCTGTCATTTAATTAAAAAAAGAGAAGCATTGTTGAGCCATTGTTATAATCATTGACAATAACCTTGGTATAAAACACCCATACAGAGTAAGTGTACAAAATAGTGTACAGTTCATATAAGCTGTGCAAAGACAGCAAAGTTCAGTTAAAAATCAAAGAGATGTATCCACTTTCCTCTGTCCACACCGTGGATAGGAGAAGCAAAGTGGAAAATAAGCACAAACGTGGGCAAGAAGGTGGGTTAGACAGTGCTTTGAACACAATATTGATGAATAAATTAGGATGAAAATCATAAATATATAAGATCTCCATTACACAGGGCATTCTTGCATTATACCTTCAAAGTAATTCCAGGTATTTCAAAGGATTTGTTGCACAAGAATGGTGCCATTTGGGGTGAGGAGGGAGGCAGATCTTGGTCTGAGTCCCTCAAGGTTATTTATTTTGGAGGAAAGTGTTGCTAGATCAGACAAGACTTCAGTAGCAGCTGAAGTAATACAGTAGCTGGAAATTCACTTGAAAGCTAATAGAAATGGTCATGCAATCCATATTGTATTTTTGATGATCTTTTTATCTGGGGGAAGAAGTTTCCTCTCCTACAGGGAAATTTCCCTTTCCTCCCTACTCTACAGCCAGGAGCTGCCTGTTGTCTGTTTTTTTGGAAGAAGCAAACTGCTGCTTCTTCCAAAAAAGATTGGTTGCTAAACATGAGCAACTATTGGTTGCTAAGCAGAGAGAGTTATGAAAAGTTGAGCAGATATTATGAACATGAAAACCCATACACAGGGCAACAAATGAGGAATACCAGTGGGAAGGAAGTCTTGCAGCTATTGTGATAACGAATCTGCACTGAAGAAGCATGTGGACATTGGGATGGGACAGCACCTCTTCAATTTATAGCACTCTGGTTTATTTACATCTTTGCAGTGTCCTCATGTGATGGTAGGTGCAGGCAAGTGATCTAAGATACTGTTATCTCCTCCTCTTCTTCTTCCCCTTCATCATCCTCTTCCTCTGAGTCTGAGAAGTCTGAAGGTTTGCTGGGGCTGCTAGAATGGGATGGAGAAGGAGATATCTGGGAGTCCAGTCTGTCCCTCAGGTGTAGATGTTCTGGGGACTGGTGGTAGGTTAGGGGATGCTGGGGGCTGGAGGGGCACACAGGGGGAACTTCCTCCTCCTCCTCCTCTCCTGAACATTTCTTGCCTACGTCACTGAGGTCTGGGTGAGGGTTGAACTTGGTGGGTAGGGTCTGTTCTCTGCAGCCACCAGAGGAGAGGAGCTCTCTTTCTTTGGAGTTCCTCCATTTCATCCTCCTGTTCTGGAACCAGATCTTCACCTAGGGAACAAAGCAACAAAGAAGTGAAACAGTTCCGTGAAATGGACCAGAAAAGGTGGTTTTGGCTGCACTCTCAAAAGCCTCTCAAATGCCCATACTAAAGTTAACAGGAGCCATAGAATCTGATCTTTGGAGGAGCCTAGGAGAGAGCGCAGGGGGAATCAGGCTGGTCTTATTCACCCAACTGGGAATCGTGACATTTTTGGCTGTGTCGATTGCCTGTAACTTGCTCTGGGTTTTCTCCCTTCTCCCATGCTTCTCTCAAGCTGCCCCCGGGGAGTGGTGGATCTTGGCTCCCCACACACCCTCTGCCCTCCTCCACCTGGCACCCCTCTCACCTGCGAGTCCTTGAGGCCCAGCTTGGCCGCCAGCTTCTTTCTGTCGGGTTTGCTGATGTACTTCTGCTTCTGGAACATCTTCTCCAGCGCCTTGCGCTGCACGTCGGAGAAGACAGCGCGGCGCAGCATCCCCCGGCGGGGCTTGCCCCGGGCAGCCAGCGGCCAGGAGAACGTGCCAGGGATGGGGACCACGGCGGAGGCAGCTGTGGGAGGGACACACGGCGCTGAGCGCAGCGGGACCGGCCCCCGCCATCCCTCCCTGCCCTTCCGGCGGGCACTCATCAACCTGGGGCCGTGAAAAGGAGCTTTAGGCTTAACCAACCGTCTTCTTTTCAGGCAGTGATCGCCGGGATTAGATCTATCAACTCAGATGTGGAAAATAGGTCAATGGTGGCCGGTTTTGTTGGGAGATTCAAAGGTCCCCGGCCTGAAAAGGCAAAGCTAGGCGTACCGGCTAACATAGAGGTACAATAAAAAAGCTCTCCCTCTCACTCAGAAGCATTTGATTTTTTTTTTTTTTTCAGATGCTTTTATCATTTCAGATGCTTTATTATGCTGGAGATGAAAATGAGGACTTTTCTGGTTCCGAACAAAACCGCTCCTCTTCAGATGCAGTTTTGATCAATCAGTATTCATCTTTCTATAATAATCTCTTCTCCCTTCTTCCCCCCCTGCTCCAAAGTTGGAGAACTCAATTCGAAGGCATGAAAAGTTGCAGCTAATTAGCACACTGCCTGGTTCCCAATCGCATTAGTATGATAAAAAAGGGCAGAGTTTCGCCTTAAAAAAAAAAAAAAAAAAAAAAAAAAAGGAGGGGGGGAACCTCCCCAGGAGAGACAGAGATGCTAATGAAGCGTGAATGGTAATTGTGTAGTAATGAACTAACAGAAAAAGACTGAGGACAAGCAGCTAACGCCATATATTATTGGAACAAAAGAGATTTACACTTTCAAACTAAACACAACGCCATGCCAGGCTCCTCGGGAGAATACTGATGGCACAATCGTCTCTTTCCCCAAATAATTTTCATTAAATGGACATGAAAAGCTATTTATAAAGCTCAAGTTGTTTTTGTTAGGCTATTCACATGCTGGAGAAAGGAAGCAAATTCCATTATCCAGAGGATGAATAGAAGAGCTTGGGTTATTTTTTTTTTTCTCTCTCTCTCCCTTTCCCTGTTTTCTTTTTAAAATCATAGCTTGCTTGTGTATTTCGATTTCAGTTTTTTTTTTAAATTGTTCTCTCAGCATCGTAATATTTCGGTGCTGTGGCAATCACAGCTCCGTGGCCTGCTTTCTCTCCTTTCCCGTGCTGTTTGACGGTGTAACCGGGAAGGTGGAGGACGGAAGGGTTAGTAGGCGGCCGAGGTGATGGAGCAGAGGGTAAGGACGCGCCGAAGGTGGAGCAGAGCAGTCACACCGCTCCCTGGACCCGCCCGTAACGCGGAAAGGTTTGGGGGACACCGAGGGGCTCGCTCCCGCTCCCCTCCCTCCCTGCGCGGGCGCGGAGCGCGGGCGGCGGGAGCTGACCGCTCCTCGTGGTGCTGAAACATCCACAGGGAGGGAGGGAGGGAGGAGGGAGGAGGGAGGGAGCGGGGACCCGCCTCGCCTCGGCACCGTGACAATCCCGGCTAATTTGCGGATCAGCGGGGGGAGCGGGCAGGGAATGTCAGGCAGTCACTGCCTGTGCTAAATCGGGCAGCAAATTGGCGCGACTGATGCTTGAATGTTGTACTCCCTCCAACCTCTGAACTGCAGCATAACCCCGCCGGGGGGAACGCAGGGACGGGGAAAAATCATCGGGCTGTGCCGGCAGAGGGGCCCGCCCGCACACAGGGACATTTCAAACACCTACCTGGGAAATAGGAAGATCTGAGAAAGGGCTGGAAGGATCCTTCAAAGTACGGAAAGGAGAAAGTCTTTGGCGGGACGCTCTGAAGCAACGTAGGGGAGGTTTCTAGTAAATAAATAAAATCAAATTAGTCGGAGGGTAGCCGCCAGTTGGATTCGACCGACGGCAAGGCTGGGTTCTGTCGCTCGGTTTGGAGACCAACGCTGTGGTACTTTTAGAAAAAATAAAAGAACGACACCGAATTCGGAAGGGCCGAGGGAAAGAGGCACCTTTGCTGGTTTTGCCAGCAAAGCGGCACCCGTGAGGACAGGGTCAGCCAGAAGACACGGCCAGTGGACCCCTCGTCCCTGGGACCCCTCCCTCCGCCTGCTCCTCCCGTCCGTCCCGGCCGCCGGCAGCTCTGCCCCTCGCCCTTGAAACCCGAGCGATGTCAGAGGGCTCTGCAGCTCGGGACTGGGTCCTGCCTCCCTTTCCTAAATAGGGTCCCTGCGCTGCCCCTCGGCCGTCACCCCCCTCCTGCGGACGGTGTGTCCCCAGGGCCCGGAGCCGCGGCCGGCGGCAGCTCGGGCACAGCCCCCTCTTACCGGCACGGGGCGTGGAGGAGAGGATAGCGTTGACTCCAAACTTCAGGAAAGTGGAGTCGTTGCTGGAAGTCTGTGGCGAACAGATCCTCCTGGAGCCGGCGGTGGTGGAGCTGGGGAGCTCCGGTGTCCCCGAATCCGTCCTGGCCGCCGAGACTGGGGGGGACATGCTGGGCGGGGGGGCAGTCCTGGGCAGGTAGCTGGTGGGCCTGCTGATCCGGATCAAATCTTCCACCAGGAAGCTGGAATGGCTGGAAAAAGCCGACTGCAGCGACTGAGGCAAGGTGAGGGAGGGGGTCGGCCGGAGGAGGCTGGGGTAGACGGCTGGAGGGGCGATGAGGCTGGGGAACATCATCGCAGGGGCCGTCCGCGGAGCCGGGCTGGGACCGCTCGCCTGCTTGTTTGTTTGTTTGCTTTTGTTTTCTGCTTTGCAAACCTGGGTTGGTAAAGATCCAGCCAGCGAGTCTGGCGGAGTTCTCTCTGCTCCTTCCTCATGGACCATGGGTTTTATAGTGGTCAGCCCCGCTGAGGCTCTTTCAAAAGTGACAGCCCCAACAATGGGGTTCAACAAAGTTCTCCACTTGAGCTTCATTCAGGGCGAGCTCCCGGCTTCTCCATTGGTCCGGGGCTGCAATTTATGATTGGATTAGACTTCATAAGCAACCGGGGCACAATGGCCCCGCCACAAAGAAAGTGTAGTCATCAATTTTGCATATTGACCGCCTCTTTGGAATACAGCGCTCCAAAGGCTCCCAGCAGGGTTTTGTTCAGAGGCAACACACACAGGCTAATTAAATGCCTATTTAAAAGTTTCAAATGACATCTTGCCTCATAGAAAGGGAATTATTTAAAGAAAGCACTAAATTTATTTGCCGCTCCCCTGCTGAGTTTAGGAAATAAATCAATAAATATTCATAGAAACTTATCTGCGGACTCTCAGAAAAACACGGGTTTTGTGGATTTCAAAATACAAATTAGAAAAAGTGGAACTAAGCTCTGTTGAGGGAGAAACAGGTTTGGAGAGTGGATCCCACAGTGGTTTGAACATATTCTGCTCCTGCTATTAGTATGAGGCAGAATTAGTGCGTGTAGATGGGGTTGGTTTTCTATCTGCACATCAAAGGTCGGGAATAAGGCATATTTGCCGTGCCAACCTCTCCTTTCAAGATCCGAGCTTCGGATCTTCGTGTACTTGTGTACAAAAAGTCTCGAGTACTTGTGTTCAGGAGAGGTTTGCCCAGACCGAAATGTGAGCCTTGGTGTTGCCGGTGAGAACTCTGCTCCCACAAAATCTGAGTATTGCACACAGGAGAGATCTAGGCACCCTTGTGGGACCAGAGCAACCCCTTCGGGGTTGGCAGTCTGCTGCTCCTCTGTAGCTTATCTACGTTCAAAATAGTGGGAATCACTACCCTCAAGCTGTGAAAATGAAGACAACTTTGTAGCATTTGGATCCTTTTGGCTGAAGTTATCCGAGCTCCTCTGGGCTGTGTCAGTGTCGGATGGCTCGAAGTAGCCAAATTCACCTTGATACCGCTTTTTATCTGCGCGTGTTTGCGGGATTTCGGAAGGTGTATTGCTCAGAAGGAAGGTGTCTCTGCGACAGAGCCCGGAGTCCCCTAACTGTGGTGCGAGGGACAAATGGCATCGTCTAACGGGAAAGTAGTAAATAGGGATTTTTCTGGCAGAGAGTTTTTGTTCGTGGCGGCAAATACGGAAATAGGCGCAAGTGTAGTTAGTTTCCTTTGAAGGTGCGTGATGAAAGCGACTATTGAGAGTGGTTTTACCTGATTTCTCTGTTAAAGACTATAACAGATGTGTTAAATGTCCTATGTTTTAAAAGCACCCTATTCAGCCCTTTGGTGTGTCTGAACCTTTGCAAGCAGAAGTGTGCAGCTCAACCATGCAGCCTTTATCCTATTAACCATGAACTAACTGTCACCTTCAGCTGTTTTCCCTTTTTACTTTTTAACACAAAGCTTTCTCAAAAATCTTATTAACCAGCTTTATTTCTCTCGATGGTTTTTGTCCGGACGTTTTGTGTTGATTATCTCCATGTCGATGCTTTAACCATTCAATAAAAGTGCATCTGCGATTTATATCACATTAGAGAAGAAAGAAAGTCTGTTAAACCTCTCCCTTGATTCAAATCAAAAAGTTATTTATTGGAGAGGACGGAATCAGCCCTGGAAGCCCTTATGATCCTGACAAGCTATCCCGGTGCTGTTCGCCGGCCCCCAGCAGACGAACACCTGCAGACCTGACTTGGAAGGTCCGCCGTCTGAAAGCGTCACTTTGAAATAAAACCTCGCTGGCGTTTTCCCTCCGCTCCCCAGTTTTGTAGGTCTTGATGCTTAGCAGGTAAAGAAAAAGGGGAAAGAAGGCGTGGGCAGAGCCCAGGGGGCTCGGAGGAGTCGTGCCACCTGCCCCTCGGCCCGCTGGGGCTCCGCGGTGCCGGGGGAGCGCGGCGGGGGCTGCCCGCCCTGCCCCGGGCTCAGCTCTCCCCTCGCCCCGGCCGGGGCGCTCCGCGGTTGTCTCAAGCCCCGTTTCTGCGTGGCGCTGCTCTCGGGGTGCTACTTCGCGAACCAGAGGGACGGTAGCGAATGGAAAACGCAAACGGGTCTTTGCTGTTTAATAAAATAATTAGCTGGCACCCCGCCAGCTCCCGGTCCCATCTCTGTACCCTGCTCCCTGCCCCTCTGGCAGCCGCCCCCCGATCCCGGCGTTTCCCAAATGAGCTCCGCCCGAGCTGTTCCGAGAACACTTCGTTTTTTACAGTCATTATACGTTTCCTTTGAGATGATTTACTCCTTTCTTTACATATACATTGGGGGCATTTTGTCTCACTATAGACCAACTGCTGCTAATTTCTTTGGTTTTAAAAAAGAGGGGCTGACATTTTCTGGAAGGTTGGGTCAAACACATGCTGGGGCACGCGTGGACCCGGTTCCTTGTGATGCGTCTGAGCACACTCATAAAGAATTCCTTAAGCACCACGGCAAAAGGGACTAGACATCTATTGAAAGGGAAGATAGACCATAAGAAACCAAGAAATCAGACGAAAGGATCTTATTTTAAGAGATCTCCTTTGGAAGTTTCTTTTCAAAGGCAGTGATCATTTAAGAGAAAGGGAATTCTAATGTCTCAGGATAAAACCTGTGACTAATGCCGTTTGACCTATGCTCGGGCAGTTTTGTGTTTCCTGCCATTCATTTTAATGTCGTTATCTTCAAATTTATTTCTTAAAAGTCACTCACTTTCTTTGTCACCGAAGGAAAAAAAAGGAGGAAAAGAGCCAAATTCAGAACTGCCGGTGGGTGGGGTAGGGAGGGGGAGGTGTGGGCTGCAGCTGCGTGTGTCCCGGTCCGAGGTTGGTAATCCGCATGAAATTGGGAGAGCCAGCACTTCAAATCCGGAGACCAAAGGGCTGGGCAGGGCCAGGCCGGCGCCCCCCGGCCGCTCGGAGCCGCGCTCGGAGCCCCATCGCTCTCCCGCATCCCCGGCCCTGGAGGCGGACGTCTCAATCACGGCCACGGCACGGCTCCACGCGGGACACCCTCTGCGGGACAGCCCCTGCCCCCGCCGGGCCCTTCCCGCAGCCAGGGGGAAGCCGAGCTCCTCGGCCCTCCCTCCCCAAGCCGGGAGCCGCTCCACAGGGGACCAGCCGAGCCCCACTCCGCCCCCGCTAGGGCTGCCCGGGGCCACGGTGCCCGCTCCTTCCTCCCAAAAGCTGCGGTGCAAACGTGCGTGTGAGCCTTTTAGGTTGTTTTCTTATCCCCCCCACCCCCCCTCCTTTTTTTTTTTTTTTTTAAGGGTTTTTTTTTTTTTTGTTTTGTTTTGTTTTGTTTTGTTTTTGGGTTTTTTTGGCTTTTTGGGTTTTTTTGGGGTTTTTTTTCAGCCGGAGAGGGGGAGGGATGCTCCTTCCCTGCTGTGTCTCAGCCCCCTGACGATGCTCATCGACCACGCCGGCAGCTTGAATGGAGGCTGCGGGGGCGAGGCTGTATTAAGACACCTAAGTCTTCACCTTTAGAATTCAAGCACAAGGAACAGTAACTATTGGTTCGTTCAAAGCTCTTCTAGATCCCCCCTTTTCTTGAAAATCCTTCTATTGTGCCAATCAAGCAGATGGTTTGCAGGAAATATAGCTTGGCCCCAGTGACCGAAACTAATTTTAACTAGCTTTCCAAGCCTGGCACGTTTGTTTTGCTCTTACAAAATAGCTAAAAAAACAGCTGGCAAGGGTGAATTAAACCCATTAAAGACACATTTATAAGAAATTATATTCACATAGGATGCTTGAAACCCCCCTAAGAGGGGAGAGATGAGTGCATTGAAATGAAAATGTCCCCGAGCACACTACCCTCCTTAACATCGCCTGAGAGTCTCAAAACATTTTACTAAATAGATTAACTTGACTATTGTTTTGCATCACATTTATCAGCTTCATTAAGTGAATAGCTGAACAAATATATTACGCATGCATGAAAAGCTCTTTTGGGGGCTGCCTTATTGTGTCCTCAGCCCTGACAGGTGGTTAACTGTGTTTCTCTCTCCTCTCCCCCTCTCTCTCTCTGCGCAAAGAAAGAGGGATCTCGGACAGAGTGCACAGCCCAGACTTGGCAAAGGGACCTCGAGGGGAGAGTTACTTTCTTTTCCCTCACCATTCATGCTGGCCAGCCCAGAGCACAGACAGCCTGAAATGGAACCAGATGATCTGATCATGTCAAAAGTAATTAACTTTAGTTTAGTCTCTGTGTCTTGCTCGCGCTTTACTAACTCCTTCCAAGCCCGTTTAATTTGCATATTTTCTTCCAAATTTGATTATTTTTGTCCATTGCATCCTTTTATCCTTTCCCCAACCTCCACCTTCATTTTAAAAAAATAATCTGGGGTTGAACAATCACTCTTCTTTCTTCTCCATTGATCTATCTAATAACCAACCATGCAACTTCCTTAAAAACAACTCCTTTCATGAGCTAAGATTGGCATATTTTGGAGATCTCAGATTTGCAAAATACAACATGATGGTTTATTTGTTGCCTCAATTTCATGATTTCTTGGCCCAGTGGAACCTTTCTGGGAATTGGACAGAGGCAGTTTGGATTTCAGATGTTGGTGGACAGGGTCCTGCTTGTTTCAGTTGTGGTTTCTGCCCCAAGGGTTTCCAAATTAGACTGTGCAGATCAAATGTGGAGGAGGATGACAGAATACCAAACTTCCCCTTTTATTTTCTCAAAAACGTGTTTCTCTCATGTTGCTCAAGTAGGTCAGAAGAAGTAAAAATCCTTTTGTCTTTCAAATAATTTCTTAAGAGTACTTCTGCCTCCTCACTGCAAATTGAATTGTCGTCCTTTG